TCGGCACCGCTTTTGCTCACATCTGTGCAGCTTTTGTCTTCTGATTTCGGTTACTTTCCCATTTCCTTTCAGTAGTCTCCTTGTGGTTCGTCTTTTAGGTGATCGGGACAGTTTTCTATCTGCTATTCTTCCCCTGCAGCCTTTTGAACGCAAATCACGTGCGCGAGCCCTCAACTCATCTGCGCTGATGAATCCATGAACAGGCTGTTCCTGGTGAACAACTTCCAGCAAAGGCACCTTCCATAGCTAATCGGAGAAGTCATGGAATACTATACTTGTTAATAGCTCAGCGAATTGGTTGGAACTATTGTATACAATGGCAGTGACGACACTAGTAAAAACTGCACGGACTATGTTGAACTTTATCATATCGCTTCGCTGCTGCTATTATCGTTTCGGCATTACCATATTGCAACCTGGCAGCTACCAGAACCTCGGCTGGTCGTCCTGACGTGTGTCAGCCTGGGTTCATTCAGTTTGCTCACAATGCATATGTCTGTCGATCATATTTTTTTCTCCAATCTATTTTGTCAAACAGAAAAAAGCACTTGCCGATTACCGGAAGCAATCGTCCGTTGTTGCTTGTACCAATACATTTAGAACAAAATAACATTCATCGTGCTGCACGGAGGATGTTTGTGTACGGAGGCGCTCTCTACGACCGATCGCTTCTATAGAGATCGGCTTTCCCGAGTTCTATGATTCCCTTTTCATTAATTACCCTTCATAAACGGACGCATCAATTTTGTCCCAATTAATCCTGTTAAATTTTTGTAGACTTGCACAGAGGCGTCCTTCGAACGAGAGGACGTCACGAAACAGAAACAAGCGCAGACAGAAAACAATCAGGTAGCGGCTGAGCGATACGAAGCGTTCGAAAAAGTATATATAGCAAATAGATATTACGCTGTCTATTCTATCTAGCGTCGCCTTGTCGTCGCAGTTTATATATGGATGCCGCACAGATACTTTCTTTGTCAATAGTCGATGTGTTCAGTAATGCCGCTTCTCAACTTCTCTATATAGCCCTTTAAAGTACAATAGAGCAAAATTTCTCAGTAGATTTGCAATCTAAAAAGTCCAGACATATGGTTGGTTCTATTAAAGGTTCCAAAATATAGTTGAAGAAGATCCGGGAAATATGGCATGAAGATTCCAGTCCTAAAGGGATGTAAACTGTGGTTATCCATAGAAATTTTAGATGTTTGATATCTGGCACAGTCAGAATGTATATCTGGGATCTATATAAATACAACAAAAGAAATTGATCAAAATAAATCGTGAGTCTCACGATCTAAAAAATTCTTAAGAACGTTCTATAGCGTCAGTTGAAACGTCCGGATGATATCAAACACTATCTTTATTCACTGTTAATAATACTGTTAAAGCTGTGGCAAGAAAACCTGCTACTTTCACTTTCGATTTTCAATGGATAATCTCTAATTATCATCGGTCTTTAGGCACAACGTGTGGGTTTTTTGCAAACAAAAAAAACAGTTATTACTTAGAACGAACGAAAGGCGGGCACACCTTCTTCAAGGCGACTACACCAAATTAAGGCGAGAGCAGTCATCACCGACTGGAGCCTTAGGCCCTGCTCGGGATAAATGAGGAACAATTGATGAAAATAAATGCAATTTTTCGACTAGGTTTGGAAAAATTCATTGCAAACGCTCGGAAGCGACGTTCCGAGGCCGCGGCCGGCAGATATCAAGTCCGAAATTCAGCTTTGCCGAACGAGTAGAAAAATCAGAAAGTAATAATTGGCTCAAATATTTAACGAGTCTGATGTGTTCGGTAGGTCAGCGTTTTTCGTAAAAAACACAATTATACTCGTTTTTTTATGCGCAAAGTAAGGTTAGCGAAAATTGTTGGGTTAAACAGTAGGTAATATTTGATAATATTTATTCAGCTTATTTTCACCATGTAATAGTTCGCTCGAAAAGCAGTTTCGTTGTGTATATGAAATTGCTAAATGTTATCTTCTGCAAGAGGCGAGTGATAATCAAGCCGATACAAATAAAAACAAGCGAAGACAGACAACTTTTCCATTCGAAGATGTAGCTGCTATTTCGACTGGGTTATGACGCCAGACAGAGATGTGCAGAGTGGTCCCTCTGCACTGTTTCGTAGTTTAATCTGTTCTGAAACTGATTAACAGCTGTACACAAATGATAAAGGAAAAACTCGACGCCACGCGTGACATCTTTTTTTATTTGAATATGTTGATTTATTCTTATTTATAATCTGATTATTTCTATTGGTTTCTCGTTTGAAGGTTTGTCTCTACAAGGGTAAGAGATATAAAGCACACCTCCAACAAACGCTCTGAAATAAGCAACGTTTCATATATTGACAACGACAATATGCATCAGTAGAATGCACACTACGCTTGACTATGACTTGCTATCAGCTCCTTCGCCAGACGCAAACGAGACCAGCCCATAACACGATGTCTGACCATAATGCACTGAAGTATTGACGTTCAGAAAAGCTGTAAATACGATGAACGACCTTTTCCTTTAGAATATTTAGCCATAGGGACTTTTGCTACAACTTCACAATACGTCCCTCCACGCCTCGGGTAGGAGGTGTGATCCTTACGCTGGTTTTTCTCACTGCTTGTAACCTCATGCTTTGGTTTTGCCCAGTTCAAATTTTGCATGGACCAATTTTATCGTCCAATCGCTTGTCTCTCTATAATTAGTGTCGCCTGCCTTTTACGCTGTCATGTGTATTATAATATACTGAGGTAGATTAACTGATCTTAAGAAACATGTGCCTCGTCTGAGTGCACGCTTTTCTGTTTCTTTCATTGTACCATTTTGAACAATTTTCTGTAATTGAAGGTCAAACCCGTGCTATAACACTGCCTCGCACTGGAAAGGGACTGTGGCTGGTGCTGTCCAATTCAGCGTCGTTGCGTACTGACACCATAAAACTGTCCGAAAAGCTTCACACAATATGGACGCCTACTTTCTGCTCTAGCAGGAGCGAAAAACAGACAAGAAGCAACTGATTTTTGGTATATCCATCTACCGAGCCACTTTTACTCGCAGATAGATGCCACTCAGCTGTAACAACAGCAGTTTCTGGACAAAGCAACATCTCATTGCATTTTACCCGTATTTGCAGAATCATAATAACTGCATACACGCAGTCGGTGCCCAAAGCCGATATGGTATTTCAGTTTGAGCGAATTTAATTAATTCGTAGTTTTTCGGGGGCAACGGGCCGTTTATCTCGCTGATGGGCTAATTGTTGTGTATAAATGTCATATTAAAGGCAGAGTCTGTCTTGTTCTAACTCAGAAAATGGTTTATGGCTTGAATATGTTTTTACCTTTATCTAGAAAGACCTGTCCTCGTTTATTCTATAAACGTCTCATACACTTTAGATAAAATAAACATTAACGTATATATTCATGAAATTTGCATTGTGTTGTGGAAAGTCGGGTCAATGATGTCGCCACGTGCCGAACGTTCCGAATTAAACAACCGTATTCTTATCAACAAGATCTAGTGCTCTAATAATTTTGGTATATATGTAAATTTGTGATACAAAAATTACTGAATGTACAGCAGACGCTTGATTCTGGACGTGTCAAAAGTCTTCTCAGATTGTTTGTGAGCACTTTTTGTTCTTATAAAGTTTCATAGAAAAAACAAAAACACAGTATATCGAATAGTGCTCGAAGTGGCACTATAGCGAGAAGCAGGGTCGCCCTATTCAATGTGAACTGATGTCCGATCTTGAGTCTTACAGTCTCTCGTACAATATGTCTGTAAGTGAAGCATGAGCTTTGCAGCCCGTCCTGCTGCTTAACAGAGCTCCAGTTAGCGTGTTAGCTAAATAAAATTAGAACGATTCGCTTTGTAGTGCATCAACGTAACTCTGAAATCTGCAAAGACTGATATATCCTGAGCTTCTTTTCTTCAGAACTTCCAGACAGCTAGCTCTTATTAAACATTGTAATGTTCAGAGTTGGTGCTGTGAGAGGCATCGATTAATATAGCAAAGACATTTTCGCTGCGGAAGAGGTCCCAGCACGCAGGCATCAAGCCTGCGGCCAGTTCAAGGTTAGCGTAAAATAGACCGCCAGGCACGATGTTACTGTTGCGAACTCCATAATAAAATCATCAAAATTTTGTGTCTTTGAACAGGGATGCACACGAGCTTAACTAGAGTTAATCACAGGAAAATTGCAACAATATTTAGCGATTGGAGGTTTTATTTTAGTAATAACAATAATCTAATTATTTACACGAATCCTACTAAAGTTTTACTCGTATGCAACAATTTTAAAAATCAATTATGTACATATGAAGTTAGATATGTCGATTACCACTCCGCTCTTATCGTAACCGAACGGGCGCATTTTAAGCCCAGTCTTTAAACTTGAGAATCCTAAATTCAGCATGTTCATTAAGTGACTAGGTAAGAATCACGTTTATCAACTTTGCAGACGTACAATCTCAATACAAATCAGCGGCATTCATGAGAAAATCCTTGGTTAAACCAGAAAGTTTAAAGGTCGACACGATCTTATTGAGTCAGCTCGTTAGTAATTAACAAAAGTAACTAGTAATAAAATTAATAAAACTAGATAAGCTATAGGACCGTCGTGATTTGACTCCACAGGAAATTTGTTTGGAACAGAGCAGAATTAATCAAGGAGAAGACGAGTGGTTCAGAAGCTAGTTCTGATGAGTGAATCAAGCCAACTCCGGTTTGCTAATGGCAGTGACGCGGTGGGCTGTGTGCTCGCCGATCAGTTTCCAAGGGCGGGCACTGACCGAGCTTTTTGGTTCGATCATTTGCTGTCATCTTCGAAGCGGGGCAGCCCCCGAAGGGATAGAAAATGGAGTAGACGAATTAGAATTGGGGTCTCTGATGACATTCCAGAGGCATCACCTGCTAAAGCATCCGATAAGATCTTGCCCAAGAAAATCCCAACAGGTTGGCGAGTGCAAGGACAAGACCGGTTTCGGAAAGAAGATTTTCGCCTGGTATAAAAGGACGTCCTCTTACCGCATACCAATACAGTAGTCTCTTAGCTACAGCTCAACGAATTCTGTAAAGATGAAGACCATCGTAAGTAGCCGTTCCGAAGATCGAAATTTTCTAGTAACATGCTAGCCAGATACCCTTAATTTAGTTCTTCTCTTTTGGTTACATGTTTATGTTCCTAACACGCTGAACAAATTACATTGTTTATATGTTAGATCTATACTAGATCAAATACTCCATTTATTTAGCTGTAAACTCTAAGACTTTAGGACTGTACATTCAACGATTGAGTAGATGTTTTCGTGATTTAAATAACCGATTTTTGTTCGCTCATCTTTAGCTCGTCCTCGTCGCCCTCGTGGCTTGCATCGTCTCCGCGTACGCTGGCATCTCCTACACCGGCTACGCCGCCCCTCTTGCCTATGGCCACTATGCCGCTCCCGCCTACGGATATTCCTACAGTGCCTACGCCCCCGTTTATGGCTACGGCTACGGTGGCCCTTACGCAGCCCCCATTTACGGCGGACTCTACAATGGACTCATCCGCAAGTAGATTTGTCCCAGCTCATCCGTTCCAAGACTGTGTATTGATGCAATAAAATAAAAACGCACTGTGTACTTTAAGCACTCTCGTAATACTATTTTTACTATACCTTAGATAGATCAAAGCCGTTGGTTACAGCGACCGTATCTCCGTGATAGCTTAGTAGGTAACGTATTTGCATGCAAATTATCGTGCAGGTCGGAACTCGGACATAGACACACGTTGTTTCGTGATGAGAGCCAGCCGTCTAACTGAATGTTTAATGGTGATACTAGGCATTAAGCTCGCAACCTAGAGGTTCCTTCAAGCATGCATATAACAGGCAGAGGGGTAACCTAACCACTTTAGATAGCAAACGTGTGGATTAAAGACTAGTCGATGCGTATTGAAGAGGTCAAGGGAGAATCATTAATTGTTCGAGGACATCACATAATATTTAATCGCTAATTAAAGAAAGTGATTTTCTAAATATTTTCCAACGATATTATTATCTTTTTTGTGTTAGAACTTTCAAGTTCCTATGATGGTGCATTTATGACGTGTTTGTCTCCAAACCCTTTGGGCCTGTGGCGTAGTCTGGATCGAATAGTAGTTTCTTAATTAAAAAATTTATGAACAATAAAAAAGAACAATGAACGAACAACTTCAACTTCTCCATTTTACTCACATCGAGTCGTTTACACCGACAGGCTCATGTTTTTACCTCATAAACAAAACCAGCGCTTGTTATAAAAAGATCAGCAAAACGACAACTATGGCCTTCATAGTAGGTCATATAGGCAAACTGGGCAATAATAAAAATTTGTGTTAATACTGCTATTTCTGAAGAATTATTCATCCTGCTTCTGTCATGAAGGACTAGTTTATTTCAGTTGAATTTCGGTGATACAGTGGGCTGTCGTTGTGGGTCATGTTTATGTTTACGTAACCACTATGCTCCACACAATTAAATCACATTAGTAGCGCAATAACATTTGGCATTTCGAACAGTTGATATCGCATAGCTGAACTTGAATTTTAGTACTTACAGAATGATTATATCGTAGTACTTTTACATTTTTTCCAAACGGAAAGCAGATATTTGCTGCACTCAAATGGTCGGAGTTTTTTTTTTTACGAAATCATCAATGAGTCCTAAATCAACTCGTTCAGAGCCTTATTTTCAAACGGGTTTCGAGTATATCTCACACTTTGCTGTCCGGATGCCTAGATCAAAACGCGGTAGATTTTTCATGATTTGCAATTAGTGTTTCACACTCCAGTCATATGGAGAAGAAACCATAGAAGCTGGACCAACATCGTTATGTAATATGGTGCCTGAACCTACTCTGCTGCTTGTCATGTTGCAACTAGAAATTGCTGGAAGGAAATGGGAAAGCAACCGAAATAAGAAGACAAGAGCCGCACAGATGTGAGCAAAAGCGGTACCGACCACTACGGCACTCCTGCCTACTAAAAATGTTCGTGGAATCACCTGCTGCCAGTAATAGCGTTGCAGCTTTTTATTCGGCACTCATTTGCCCTTGGTAGTCCCATTCATGCCCATACTGATGCTACCTTTGCCGGCCCGACCCGCTTCGCTCAAATTGAACATTTGCCTATTCGACGCTCCGACGAATTCCGACGCTGGTGGGGATACCCAGGCCACAGTGGCGCGATTGGTGGAGTGGGCGACTTCTTATCGCTTTGGCTACCGTGATGATAGCACCGCCATGGTCGCTGGCTGGCACAGAATAGCAGGTTACTGACCGGACACTACTGATTCGGACTGTACCCAGGTATGCATTGAAACAACAGATTTTGAACGGACGCCCGTAATAGCTAGGCCGGCACGTCCTCCTGAAGAGCTCAAACATCCAATAGTCAGTAGACATGCCCACATGGATGCCCAAGTTGTACACATGCTTGCCCACATGAACAAACGTATATGTAATCAGACGCAAATAACATGAGCACGCCTACAGCCGATGCGGTTGCCTCCCCACCGCCCCTACCCCCGAACAAGTATGCTAGCCAACACATACGAAACGTGAAATGATGCTTTGTTGAAGACAGCGGCAGTAACAGCAAAAAGTAACGAGCGAGTTTCTGTTATTGTTGTTACACCATTAACTCATTGTATTATAGCTACTGATGCTGATGTTTTTATTAATGTCGATGTTACTGTTGTGTAGCAGTGCAATGCTATATCTTTGTGAGTAAAGAAAATTCCTCTATTCCTTCTACAAGGTTTGGTATATAATATTGCAGAAAAAAAAAAAGCAACGGTTTGCTTTTACTTCGGTGCTTATTTCATTTGTAACGATGAATTAGCGTAGTTTTACTGAGAAAATATTAGAGACTTTCTACTTAGTTCATGCTAACTCAAACGGGTGGGTAAAAAATTTATTAAATTTTAACACTGCTTTGATAATGTTTATATTTAATAAAGTGAAATTTTATTGAGTATAAAATTATTTAGTAAAAAGAAAATCAGGTACGGAAATAAGAGCAAAGAATACTACAGTCTCAGGGAGGTTGTATACAAGAATTTGTGTGGTAAGATTTGTGGAGTCTGAAGCGATCCTTAAACGGATGAATAATGAGCCCATGAATAGTTTTTTTATCTATTGGGCTGTTAACGATTTTGGTAGACTTTGAAACTGAATAGCTTCTGAACTACAACGACGATTTTTTATATGTGTGTTTTGATATATTTTATTTTTTGAAAATGTATCCGAGCGCTCTACGCCTTTTTTGGGCAGTAAAATACCTATCACTTGCGACTTCTTTATCTATTGCTTCTCGGAATAAATGCATAACAATATAAGCTTGCCCAACAGTTGTCTTCTCTAGGGCATGGAAAGCTCCATAGACACGGACTTAGATCGGTAGAACAAGCGGGTTGAAGCCGTACTCTTGGATACTCCCTTGATAAATCTGAAAACAATTTGAGACTTGACGGTGAACTTTGACGCTGTCATCAAACGACCAGGCTGCGTGCTATCAGTTGATAGCACGCAGCCTGGTCAGACCCTATTTGCAATCTGTGAGTCTCTTGGGTAATTCAAGATGGCGGGCTGCACTTGTTGTTTAATTTTCAGTGAATATCTTACAGTAGGAGATGCCCCGGATTTTTATTGTAAGTACTACCATTGCCTCGAGTTTGAACACATTCTAGGGCGACGCCATTCTCTCGCCTATTCCCCTTTCCGAGCGGCTGTCGGGACTAAATCGTGCCTCCTCGATGGCGATTGTAGGTTCCAGGGTTTTTCGTTGATTAGAATTTCGTAAATTGTACGTAAAATACACTACATACACTTAATACAACTAACCCGGTGTCAACTCACGGGGATCGATCTTTTACTCCGTTTGCAATTTTTCAGTATTTGATTGATTATAATCTTGTAACATGTTACTAATGAAATGCCAGTTTTGACTGGCGGAACCCTTTGACCCCAAGCTCTATTTTCGTAAAGAGCTTTCTCGATTGTAACAACGCATTTTCGTCTTTCAGGCGCCGACATCCGATCACTTCCTCACCGGTCTTCAGCACTGCGGTCTCCATTCATTCGCACATGTCTTTACCAATATTCGATGTATTTCCGTAACGCTGCGGCCCTTTGAACGGCAAAAACTTAACCGCTAAATGTTGATTTTCGGCTCGAAAAGCTGTTTTTCTTCCTGCGTTCATTTCTGTAAGAGTAAAGTCAACTGTTTATTAACTTGTTCAAATGTTTATAAATGACTAGAGAACTTAGCAATAAAATTTCGCCAATAAAATTACCAAAAAGTTGTTCAATTTCAAAGTTTACTGAATCTGCTTACAACAACCTAATACTATCTCACTATTATAAAGTCAAAAAGATTATAAATAATTTCAGCCCAATAGGAACTATATGATCGATCGGTTCTCATAAGATTAGCTTACCACTAGAATTTACTACAATCTCATATACGCAATCACCTATGATTAACACATAAAGAGTGTAACGATGGGCGCCATTGTTTCCCGACTAGTCCTGTTTCATTTACCTAACGTTCTTCCAACGGCAATTCTTTAAAAACTCACTTAACTTACTGTAAAGCAGAGGACCATATAAATACCTTCTTTTAATAGGCCCTTTGTTGAATTTGTAAGCAATTGAGATGTAGAAACCATATTTTCATTTTACTATGACATATTACTACTACTACTACTACTACTATCTATACGATGAACGTGCACGAACTCGCTTCTATACTTAACCGTTTTTATCAATTACGATGATAAAACACAAAGATTGTTAGGTTATCATAAAAGGTAACTAGGCCATTCTAACCAAGCATAAAAATAACGGCATCAAAAGAGACCCATTTGCGGTGTGCCCATAAATAGTCTTGTAATAGCCATGCGTTCGCTACGCTAAAGCTATAGTTACGTATACTAGATGGAGCGTATGGGCTAGTCGTTAATTAATAGAAGACGGGACAAAATTGACCCCGAACTAAATCAACGTTTCGTAAAAACGATGATGCTCCTTGAAAATCAACCACGAAAACGGCAATTCCTTTAATTGATCATAGCATTCCAATATTCCTAAATATGAAACAGAATCATTGTGGTACTATTTTTTCTATTGTTAGGTTGGCGATCGAAAAATATACCCGTAAGCTATTAATAAAACTGCGAACGGAGGACAAATATTATCATATTATTATTATTATTATTATTACGTATCACTGAATAAATATTTGAGACATCGTTGTAGCTTCAGTGAGTTCAACTTGAAATCTCTGCTAGTTTCTATCGAAGATTAGAGGACGCTCCGTCGTTTTGGTTCAGCTCGTGAGTCCAACTCTACAGCCGACCCTGGCACTTAAGGCAAACATGGTTTCAACACTTCACTCTCAAGAATATATACATGAAAGTATATGACTGTCTATTTCTAGACCGAGACAACAGCCCTTAATGGTTGAATAAAACTGATTATAGCGTAATTGAAGACAAACACTTCAATGACATCTTGTGCTAGTTCATAATCGATGAAGAACGATATTTTGTTTATTAAGTGGTTTATAAGCAACGCCGAGAACCGTTTTCAAGGATATTGTTTTTACCTTGATGGTGTCTCTATGACTGAGCGACCCATATAATTATTATTGTAGTAAATGGAATCGAGCAATCATTATAATAGAGAAACCTCGCCATATTATCATGTGAAATTAAGTTAAAATTGGTTGTTATTTTTTTTTCTATACGTATCGAGATACGGTGATCTTGTTAGTGATTTGCATCAGCATAAAAGAAGAAATAGCACATTCATTTTAAAATACCTCATTTATATGGAAAGCACTGCGCTCGGCTTACACACATATTTCAACACCTTTCCGCGATAGTCATATTACTTAAATTATAGGATACTCAATAGGTCAAAATCATTTATTAGTTTTTGATTGTCAACCAAAATCTATTTTAATGGGTTTACCTGTTAGATAAAAGTGCTCAAATCCGATCGTATACCACTAAATTGAAGTTCTACTGATAAGCCCGGGTCCATCAACCTCAGTTTGTAGTATTCCCATCGCCGCATCAGTAAGAAGCAGGGCTTTCCCTAGTGCTTCTCAAATTGTCATTAGATAATGATATGATACTTATCATATCAAGATAATGAGGTACGTATCAGGAACGTGTCTGAATATCCCGTTAAGTATTGTTCCGATCATGATGGATATACCAGTGTTATCCTCTTGCACGAATGGTCCGCAACGTCCAACGAAGTCAGCAGTGCAACGTCTATTTTTTAAAAAACGAAATTACACAATATAATTAATCCTGCTCAGTTTTCTTAGCGTTGTTATTCTCGTCTAGCTCTACAATCAATGAAAGGGAAAGTTACTGGCACATAGGTGTCTCTCACAGCGAGGCGACTTAAGTCGAAATATAGATTCATCAAAATAGAGATTTGCTCTTGCTGTTTCAAAAAAAAACACCTTAATAATATCAGTTACTTGTATGTTTCAAATGTAAGGAAAGACACATTTTCAATAATTTCAATTTCATGGACGATCGTGCGAATTTTACCTCAGACTTAGACCGAGACCGAAATTAGCTGTTACTAGCATCATCAGTCGTCAAGCGCTCAACAAGCGGCACAGGAATCGTTTAAGGGCTCAGACCTACATTATATGGAGTGTAGTAGTAGTATACATTATATAAAGTTCGGTACCTTAGCACCAATTTGTGTTAAACTCCGCGATAACAGCCGGCTAACACATTTAAAATCCTTTCATTGTAGTTTGTGTAACATCGATGCACGAAGCTACTGAACAGATACAGAACGCTGTTGCTGTCCGATGGTGGTGAGGTCCAGAAACTGATCTTCACGTTTGTCAGCTAATACGAGCTACTGCCTGCGTCTTCACGGATATTACATCAAACAAGCGTCGGCCACGCGTTCCTCATGGTCGAAGCAGACAAACGACTCCACTTTTCATCTCTTGATCCGAGGGCAGTGCCAGTGGTAAACTGGCAAATGGAGAGAGAGACTGCCGTCGACGTGAAAGTGCTAGCCCACTGAGAGGACACTATTAACGGGTTCCGTACGAACAGGGCCAGCGGCTTCAAGAAAGCCAAACGTCTTCAAGGCTTGGCCCAGTATAAAAGGCCACGAAACGCGATCATGAGCACAGTTCTCGCCCGCAAGAACCTCAACCTGCACTTGACAATGAAGGCCGTCGTAAGTAACTTCAGTGGACTTTTAACTGCAGCAGAATTTTTGTGTCTGAAGTCAGTTACAACGTGACCTCAGATTTTTGAAATGGAAATGTTCTATGCCATATCCTTTATTAATCATATAAGATTCTGCTTAAAATGCAGCGCCATCTGAATTTCAGCTATGTACACTCTATCAATCGTATCTATAATCTCGAATCGCTTACCTTTACAGTCTACAATCTCACACGATCACGAGTATATATCTTAACAATTTATTTTGTCGCTCATTTTTAGCTTGTTCTCGTTGCCCTCGTGGCTTGCATCGCCTCTGCCTACGCTGGTGTTGTTTACACCGGCTACGCCGCCCCTCTTGCCTACGGCCACTATGCCGCTCCCGCCTACGGATATTCCTACAGTGCCTACGCCCCCGTTTATGGCTACGGCTACGGTGGCCCTTACGCAGCCCCCATTTACGGCGGACTATACAATGGACTCATCCGCAAGTAGATTTGTCCCATATACGCGCATCGCATTTGATCGAACAGTTGTACATTGATGCAATAAAAACAGAAATTGACTGTGATTTCTGAGCACTAACTCGGTGTCATCCTTAGTACAAAAAAAAAAAAGAAAACCGGTGCGTGGAAAAGAACGGCATTTAAATAGAAAAGAGTATCTAGTAATTTTTCCGGAACTTGGATCGATTACACTTAACGACCACGGACTGCTAGCAAGTCTTATTATTAGTCTACCCTCTAAGTTTTGAAGGAAAATAAACGCCTATAAAAATTGTAAATATATATTTCTATGGAATATTATTTCGGATATGTAACACACATATATAGCCGCTTCTATCAAATATTCATCTTCCGAAATATGTAGGGATTTCAAATGAACGTCTACAGGGAATATCACTTCGGTGTTGTTTTCTAATCCTCTATAAAAAGTAGTTTTACTCAAGACGTTTATATAAAACCTGGTAACAGATCGCTAGCTCCTGCGAATAGGATAGTATTCTTAGTCAATTGGATTTAAGTGTTGTGCTTTGTCTTTGGAAAGATGGAAGTCTCGCCGTTCTCGTAGAACATGATGTTCGTACATAATTCTTCTCTGATGTTGGAACAACTCCTTTTAAACTCTTGAATTGTAGTATCGATATTTCCTGGTGACAAAAGTAATTTAATGTTCATCAAAAAATAAACTATTTATAAAGGCACAAACCTTCTACTGGCCCATGGTCTCGAAACGGCCTGATACGTCCGCATTCAGAGTTAAATGCAAAGAACAGAATGTGTGTTAGTATTGTATCCTCCTTGTGTCCATTCCTTTGACGAATGGGTCCTTCCAACAGCAAACTCAGCGCACCAAAACAGTTATTGGAACATGCGCACCCTAAAAGGTATAGGGCACTTGAAAATAGTAGTTAGATTGTGGGCTTTATTTTAATGCAGGCCTTGAAATGCTACCCTGTGACCTTTTACCGACGGTTGCGCGTGAGAGTGTCATTGCTTCGCTTGATAGTACAGCAAGCACCCAACCGGGGGCAACCCAGGAAAGGGCTTGTCTGACCCCAAGACTTGGTATTCATTAAAGCAGTCTGCTACTAAAAATATGTATTTCCAATATCTCACTTCACTTTATTTTAATCTAAGAAGCCAAAAAAAGAAAAAAACGTTTGCCTTACCATAAATTGTCAATGCCAATTTTCTTTTCTAGAAAATTGCCTTATTTTTACATAGAAGGGACGGATGGCAGCGTTCCCAGGGTATGAGTCATTTATTTTTATTTGTCGATTGTGGTAGCAGTGTTGTCGACAGGTGTACTGTCTTAAATCTTCAATAGCGTGAGAAGTAATATCTCCTAAATAATTTGTCTGTCGCATACTCCGCAAACAATGCAATCAATAACAGCACCAAATCTCGGCCTAATAGACCGTGTAATTAAGTGCATTATAAACATAACGTACTGATCTTTGAAATATAAATCGTTTTTTTATTTATATAAAATACTTCAGTGTCATATTTCTTTAACTATCTACTTCAATAAAAGTACTGAATATCTTAACAATTTCAAACCGGCCACTGGCCTTACATATCTCGCCACTCTTGGCTTTGAAGCTTCCCAAGATACCTCTACTTTTTACTACTCCAGCATTGCTGCTCCACTCGTTACCATCAAAATCAGAAAGGTCTTTGTCAAAGTGTTGTTGTTCGGATATCCAGAGTCGAAGACGCTAGTTATTTAGGACTAGCAGACGACATAAGCCCAACTCCAACTTTAGCCATCACGGGTCGAGCATACTGCGTACGGGAGTTCTTCCAACTCGCTCGTGCATTTTCTCATGTGCCCTGAATGGCTGACTTGAAAAAAAAAAAGCAGTTCTCGTTTGTAATAACAATAATGATATTTACAAATAAACATGCGTTGCTTTTCCGGATAGCATAGAAAGCGCCGTCACAACAAATATCTTCACTAAAATAATCCGTCACTCTACACTGAGCACAAATGATCAACGATTTAATAAAAGCATACTCTGGTTAGTCAAACAAATATTATGTAAAAGTTATAAACTAAGCTGCAAGTTACGTCGAGAAATAAGGAAAACATATTTAACCATTTAATAACTTCAAAATAAAATATAAATTAGCGTTCACCTAAACTTCAAGAAACGCCTGCGCCCAGACAAAGAAAACCTTGCGGAACATATATGAAAATACGATCTTTATCACGAGGCAAGCTCTAATTTATAGCCAGAAAATGTCCTGTCCGTCTTCAACATCTAGTAAAATAGAAATCAAATAGAAAACAAATAGAATTAATACACGCATGTTTTTGAGTTTAAAAAGATAGCGTCGCCTAGTATCAGCCCGCTATGGCTATCATTTGGCGGCACGTTATGCCATATTGTAGAGCAGCTTATATACATCCAAGACAAGATTTCTATTCAAAGTTTCCGTGTCTATGTTCAGTGTCAATAATCCTCACCCATAAAGAAGAATAATAGAAGTTATTATACAGAGCATACTGGACGAAAGCTTGAATCCATTACGTCCTTTAAAAACCGAGCTGCTCCTATATCATCCCGGAACATTTCTGTAGAGATCTTTGTTCATAAACAGTGAACGATCGTCGTCCTTTAACATAAAACAATGTCTTCTTATGCTTCGTCCTTGTATTTTTGCTTAGATGCAGAGAAATTAAAAGGTATAATATACAGGGTAAATGCACTCTGCTCAGCCAATAGACAGCCATACACTACATGGGCATTGAAACATGTTAAAAAAAAAGTAGGCTTATTGACTTTTAATGAAAATCGAATGATATAGTCAGCTGCAGCGTAAAAATATGCACATTTTCGACGTAATCCCGGTCTTCTGATAGACTCGTCAAAGACAATTAGTGGTATTTTAATCTAGTTGTTTCAACTGTTATAATTTATCCGTCTCTAGAAAGAGAGGGCTTTTCTTCAAGTTTTTAGGCGGTACTAAGTGCTAACGATCAGTCAGTAAGTGCCACTGTAGACAAAAGTTATAGGTAACTGCGAATGTACCGAAATGTTGAAAAATTACATTTTTCAAAAATTACATTTTTTATGCAATTAAAGTGTGACAATAAAATAGATTTCGACCCGTATTGACCTAACTCTGACGAATCAAACGGCCGACGTTTGCAAGTCGCAAAAAATTGAACGACTACTTACAGACTGAGAAATCGAGTTAGGACGAAGTCCTGAAAAAGGTATGCCAGCGCACTCGGAGCAGTCCTAATCCAAAATCGAAATCACTTGAAAACGTCTAGAAGAAAGCTACCTGCTTAATTGACATGTCCGAAAACACGTGGACCCCATCTATCTCTACCTGTAGTGCTGTTCACTGGTTAATTCGTATTATCTTGTATAAGACATACGGCTTCCTGCCGTAACGAATTATTTGGAACGAATCATTTCTATCTACGAAATTAGTTTCGCTAAAAGTTTCGTGATTGAGGAGATTGATACTGACTAGTAAGCGTATCATATAAGTCTACCTAGCCACCTATCGTTTGGTAGCAAGCTATTCGAGTACGACTAAGGGTAGCATCTTATTGAACTCATTACTTGGAAAATTTTTGGAAATTTGGGAAAAAAATAGAAATAGTTACCTGCTAGCAATATTCAAATGTCTTCTTCGTATTTGAATGAAGATTTAGATCACTTGGTTGAAATACTCCTATTCTAAAATAGAATGGGTCTATCTTCTATTCTATGAACGAAGTAAGAATATTGTATTCACTATGTTGTATGTTACGTAAAAAAAAAAACATATTTTCCAAAAAATAATGACAAATAAAATACAAGTAAATTTGTTCGCGCAAATGCGAAATATAAAAGACCAGACTTTATCGCATTGGAACAAGTTTCATTGGCGTAGCAATTGCTATTATCAACAAGGAAAGTCTATGAATTTCAAGTGTATTAATGGGTGTAATACGCCTCGACAAAAAAGGACCCAGGAGAGTAAGGATCTCAGCTCGTTATTAAAGTAGTCCAATGATAATGTCTAAAGCAGTTTTATGTTTTAATTCACGGTTAGGACATGCATCTGGACGCGTAAACGTAAATGTCTGCTAACAGGTATTAAACTTAAAGGGCAGAGAGTTGATGAGCCTGAAATAAGTAGTTTTCTGTTACCAATAGTGACGTTCCTTGCGCTTTATGTTCCGGCATTGGCATGAACTGAATCCATTAAAAGGCCTCCCGGTGCGACCCTTCTCTAGCAGTGAGCTCCTGGCGACTGCCAGGACTGCACATCGCCCACGACGGGCTCTCATCGAGCTGCAAAGAGAAACTCTTAATATAGGCCCATATTGCTATTTCTGAGCGGCAAGCCTTTAAACAGAATAAGGTCTAGAGCGAGGAGAGAAGGCAAGACAAAAAAGACACAAATAACGACGAACGGACGACAAAAGTATACAGAAGTAGACGAACAACGTGGTACTTTTCAGTAGGAAGAAGCCAGAATTCACCCACTAATCCTGCAAAACTATTCGCTTCACAGGCTCCTATAAATAATCGTCTGATTTCGAATAAAAATACAATTTGCCAGTTGAAAATGTACGTTAACACCACTCAATTTTCATTTTTTTCGGGCTCGCCTCCTACAAAGCTTAGTACGAGACGATATCTATTACTTTAAATCGATAATTTGGCCCACATGTCTAAATAGAACGTTTTGCCCCTGGTCACTCGTTAGCGTGAATGCTTTGTAGGACATGTTGTTAATGGTCACATCGTGATGCGTTCATTAAGGTTCAACTTTGGGAAATGTCTCAATTAGGCCAAAATAGAGGCCTTCTTTCTTGCTGTAATAGATTGATATGATATTAACTGACTGTTGAAGCTGATTGACAACTACCCCCGTTTAATAGCTCACGGCGAAGTTGCTTCCGTAATGATATCTGCAACAGAGCTCTTTGCATGTATGCATATTGGTTGATTCACTGTACTGGTAAAAGTATGAAGTCTATTTTAAAGCCACTTTCAATCCTGCAATAAAAAAATCACAAAATGAGCGATCTCCTTTTCTACCGTGCTATTAGTGCTGCCCGTAACTAACGATCCTCATTAATAAATCGGCATTAATGAAACTTGGCGGGTTTTTGGGGCTAACAGCAGCATAGCTTTGAAATAACAGTTTCATACTTATTTGGTTTTATTTAAGTTCCTGAGATTCAGTACAGGTCGGCAAGCGATGCCAAGTTTTTGTAGTCTATAATTTAAGCCTATTTCAGTCAAAATTTATGCGCATTCAGAAACAATCTATTTTCGGGATGATTAAGATGCCATGTTTCCTAGCGAGATCATGTGGTTACATTGAAAGGCACAGTTTCTACCAGCCTATTTTCCGCATTTAATGCATATCTACATTTCATTTGATTCATGAAAATTTGGAAGGACGCACAGCTTATGATTGACGCCATACACCACGCATCTGTTTGCAACATGGTGATTTGAGAGGTTCATTGTTATTCGTGCTCGTGCGTCTGCTTTCACGTATTTGTCCTTTTAAATTGCAAAACATTTATTAAAAGCAGGAATGAACGGTAGGCTGAAACTTAGTTTCAAGCCCTCGATAAACTGAAGTCTCTGCGCAAAAAGGTAAGCTAGCCGATTTCGCACCGCGCGGTGAACTTTGAGAACATTTTTAAGGTAAGCAGCTTTGAAGCAATTTCGTTGCTTTAAGTTTGCAAGAAAGATGTCTCCTTACATGAATCACATGCTTTAGGCAGCTATTGGGGTTACGTTGAGGTCGAACAGCTGGAGGCAATAGGGGCTGGGAGCAGACGGGAATCCTTTATGATAATGATTGCTATTATTACCTTCCTGCAGCTCTCCGTGACGTGCGACAAAAATTTTCAACCGTGAAATAGCTGCAGGTGGCGAAAACTGTTTAAGCAGACGAGGAGCGATTCCGTAATAGAAGGCGCGTCTTGTGAAGTAGGTCGTCTTTCTCTTTAAACTTCGTCATAGCCGTCTATGTCAACTAGGCCGAACTTTACTGGATCAGGTTCTCTTAGGCCGATGCTTGCTAGATGGAAACGGTTACTTTTATAAGTAACTAAGTTGTCAGTATACAAGATCAGCTTGACGAGCCTTCTGGGTCTTCCGACTCTCGTTGATAGGTCCTTCAAAAATGCCGAGAGTACTAAGGGGCTAAGGTTATTATCCTATACGAGACCTGTGGTTTAAAGAATCAGTAGTTCTGCCACACCGTAATCGATATTTATCCTTTTTTTTTTTTAAGTATAAGCCAATAAAATGTTCAGGATTTCTGTAGGAACTCCCTGCTTTGCCGAATGTTTCAAAATATTCCTTGACGCCGAAGTTGGCGAATAGGGCAAATAGTGGTTGTCCAGCTAATAACTTTTTGATATCTATCAGTAGAGCCTGTTAAGTTGTCATGGTAGGTCAGCTAAGTCGAAGGCAGTCCTGCTTGTCCTAAATGACGGCTGCAACCTGCAAAAGCCAATTTAGCCTTGTCATTAGTCGGGAGGTTAGCAGTTTAGAGAATACACTGTTTCTTTTTAATGCCGCAACACGAAGTTTGCAACAATTTACGACTCCCTTATTTTTAGGAACAAGTAAGAGCATAACCTTTGACCAGTGAGCAAGTAGGGCGACATTTCAAAGATACTCATTAAGCAACGTCACCAAGCGAGGGACCAGGATGTGAGCATTCTTTAACTTCGGTATCTGATGCGAACCCATTACTTTATTATATGAAGACCTAAAGGACCCTGACGATGCCTCGTCATAAGTCAGCCTCGATAATGTTCCTTTTTCGCTGACCATTTGCTACCCGGCCACCGAAACCCAGGGGCAGTGATTTGCTATTGAATTCGTCCATCCAAACACAACAGCAAAATTATCGGTAAGGTTTTGTATGCTGATTGGGCGCCATGTCAGACCTCTAACCTGCAGTTCCTTCTCATACGTGAAACAAGTTAATCAAATTTTCACGTAAGTTTCAAGTCATGTTGTTGCTGTTCTTAATGGTATGATCACACTGTTTTTTAATTTTCTTTTAGTTTATATATACACACTGATTGAGCGGGTGCATCGACATCAATTTGAGGACCGAATCAACAGACCCTTTTCTCTACGAGTTGCTTTTGTATTTGGAAATGATGTCATCCGGTTTCTTCGCACTGCTCTTCCTTCTAGAGTGTGGTTTGCTGATGATTCTTCATTACGTGACTAATGATTCATAGGTACATAAAGCCATATAGCACATAGCTATATAACACTCGCGTGTGCAGCGACAGGGAGGTCTTTCTTTGCTATGTAAGCCACTCACTTTTTGTCCAGGACACAAAATTGAAGAACTTGAGTCAAATTTTGAGTGATAAAAGAATTTCAATTTCGACACTGCTTCCCCACCGGAATGGAAAGCTGCAAAGGCAGCCCTATATATTTGTCCTGCTTACCTAGGCAACTCTATAACAGCGGACAGATATGCGCCAATAATTGGCCTCCTTCAAATAACAATTTTCGTTTAAGTGCCAGAAATCGACCGCAGCGCGTTGCCTACGTAAAAGATACAATTGTTTTCCAATGAAGTACTCATATCTGAAGTCTGAATAATTTAAAGTCTTGCAACCTGAATAAAAGGAAATTGACGCAAAGAAATGGCTTATAACACCGAAGAAGAACTTCGCCATATTTGTAATAGCCACAAGTAGTAAATAGCATTTCAGCCGTTTTCGTGTTAGATTATTATGAAATGCGTTCGTTTCGCAGTACCTACCCATGACCAACAATTAATGGCATACGAGGCCTGTTAGATTTTCCTAGTTAACTAAAGTTTGTATGCTAAACATAATTAAACACTATTATAAATTTAGCTTTTTTAACACTGTTGTCTAAATCTGTATTCAAACTCATTTGAAAATAGCCCTTTTCTTTTTATAAAATATTTTACTATTTGTCCCAATTATCAAAACATCTATAAAGTTAAATTTCGATATTTTTATATTATTCTTATCATTATATTACAGTATTAATCGTGGACCTTATCGAAGCTTCAAAAGTTAAAATTGGATCATTTAGGCTTTAATCCATATATAATGAATACTATGAAACCTATTGTTGCATGCATGTACCCAACGCTTATATGTAATAGTCCGAAATAGCTAGAAGATCAAAACGCTGCGAGATGTGGAAGGCATGCTCAAATGTTAGCTCACTGAAACATTAGGTGGTGTAAAATTTAAATTTTAAGGCGGCCTCGATTAGATCATTTCCAATATTTAAAAAAAAAAACTTGAGATATTAAGTCAATGTATTTCACATATCTCGTCTTGTCATAGTTCTGCTGATGATAGTCATTCTGCTTATCTGGTATATACGAGACAACTTCGAATATTACCTTGTACTTTGAAGTCGCTATACCTTGATTATGTTTATCCGTATGCTCTATTATGTACTATAAAAATATTTATCCCGCTCTATTATTTGGCCCAAAAAATTTAACCGAATTTCATCTTATATTTTTCTAGTAGTTCTTTGTTATCGGGGATATCTTTTTGACAAGACGTCACAGGTTCTTTGTTTTGACAAAATCAATGCAAGGATTGGGGTAAAACAAAGGTCGAGAGCTTTAAAGTGAAAGTGCGGTGAAGAGTGCGGTGAAGTGAATACTAGTACACGGTCGCGAAACAGATGGAAGAAGCTTTCCTCACAGATTCTGACTTTTTATGCCAGTAACAATCAAGAAGTTCTCTTGAAGCATGTCCGGAGTATTCCTTATTGACTAAAATACAAGTTTATGAGAAAAAATAAACAGTTAGCTTAAATTCAAAGCACGAGAACCCGTGCTTCGTGTACTTGCCAAGGCCCACCAGGGTTTCAAAATTGCATTTTGATATAATCGCGAACACTACCGAGTCTTTTATAGTTTCATGTTCAATACATTAAAGGAACCATTCCAGCGAGAGCCGCAATCTGCATTTCATAATAAAGATGCTATCCTATGATGATAATAATAATAATAATAACTCGTGCAGCTGGGGTTTTGATACGATCTACGACGAGTACCGTACGACACATGCTGGTATGCCGAATAATTCGTGTATAAACAAAGACAGACATAAGTGCTTCAAAGACCTTCGTTATTTATATGAAATGCTAATTAATGTTATGCGATGAAACCTATATTTGTAGTGTGAGTATTCATCTTATATTCAGTATTTTACGTTAATTTTTTTACAAAAGCTACTCAATGCTCATGATTACAATATTATAGAAAACGATGCCGTGGAGTTTTTTCGGTTCGTAAAACATATAAGTCGTACATAATAAGACGGACATTTGTAATAGTTTTTGTATTTAATTTTCCACAACTTCGATAGAGTACTAACACGAACTCGTTTTTCTGGGATAAAACTTACCCGACGTTTTAGCTGGTTGTCCAAACCACGATAATGAAAAGGCCCTCGCTGCTAATCCTCTACTTCTTTTTGACTTCAGGAAAATCCGATCTGGCGTTCAAGACTGCTACGTAGTTTAGTCTTCCCTACACAGAAACTACAAAGCCTTAGTGACCCAGTTTTTTTTTGCCAACTCCTTGTCAAAACTTTCATCTGTCCACCGTTTCGCTGACGCGAACTCCATTTTTCAGCTGGTTCTCATGTGTGCCGAAAAGGGCAACTGTTGCCTTTAGCATGCAGCAATTCTAATAGGATAGCTCCCATTCTTTTGACGCTATCACAATGCTTGCTGCACTTGCTTATTTACGATTGTGAGTAAATAAGCTTCGGTTTAATATCCCTGCATCGTATAATACAAACATTTTTCTAACATAAATATTTATTTTATATGAAAAAAAAAAAGAAGAAGGATTAAATCAATATACCTAAAATGTGTACATCGTATTTCGCTCTTCAAATATCCAGCTAACTTGGAACATATAACGAAATCTATATAATATAAAATCCACTATGCTTAGTACGGCAAAAATTATTTTTTTCTGGGGTACAATACAGCCCTTTAACTTGATTTTATAGAATCTATCAAATTTTCTCTTATTTTGAAATTCAGACAGTTTCTGAATTTGATTTTCTTTTTATTAGCTGGTATTAATTTGACTACATTATAACTCTATTAAAAAACACCGGAAAAAAATAAGCAGAGCATCTTAAAAGCAGAAGCCTTTGTTTGCCATCGCCTTGGTGTTACATCCACTCATTAGTATTACCACACTTTAGCCTCAAAAATGCTTAATGTTGACTAAGTCAGTCAAAGTAAGGTCTAAATAATTGGAATGCGCTTTTTTTTTTTTTTTTATAGAGGAACTACACGTACAAGCAATACGTATATGTTTGAGACTTCAAATGCAACGTGGATCTAGCATGTGATTGCGATCCGTACCATGGTACCGCGGTCCATGGTGAGATCATTCAAAATTAGGCTTCTTTTTCACTTAAGCTCCTGGAGATAAGTTTTCTTCAATATGGCTCAATCCTTTTCTCATTTAGCCCATTGCGACATCAAGCATTTGAGCTGAATTCATTATGAAAGCAATTTTTATCATTCTTACTTCTTTGATACTTCTGTAACAATAATTAGATAGAAGACATTACCTTAAAGATGTTTCTATAGTCGCGTTAACCTCACTTGGGTATGTATTTCGACCGTGATCGGTATCAGCTTTTTGTATGTTAGATGGTGCACAATCCTTGATATTCGGCAATCATCTTTTGTTGTTGCAGCCTGATCAAATGATTACATCTAACCTTTTCAACCACCATCAGAATTGATCCATTTAGGATAAAGATGTACGATAATTGTTGTAACTGATAACCATAAATGGTTCATGCATGATAGTCTTACAACGAAAAAAGCCCACCTCGATGGTTCACGGGCTAGGGTGTCGCGGTATTCTCGGTTGAATGAATCTCATGCGATAACACATTTATAAAGCCTACGGTGCGTGGCATATGCCGCTGTCTCAGAAGTTTTTCGAAATTATGCCTGCAATAGAATGTCGCTGCAATACCGGTTCAAGCAGGATGCCAATGGGTAACCCAGGAGTATGTGAAGCTATGGGGCCATTTTAAGGCTGATCTATAGTCTTTGACTACCAATGCAAACTACTAATGCACACCCTTACAATAGATACCGATACGATAGATGATTGAGTGAATGGAAAATAATTTAGACGAAAAATCAACGCTTTCGAATATTTTTTGGGTCTCCCGAATTGACATTGTGCAAGGGCTATTCTCAACATGTGGTTAAGAAATCGCATGACTGACAATGTGAAATATTAATGCGATCTTCAGACCTTTATCTATCTTCTTTGCAAACAAATTTACTTTAGACTGGCATTGCTTCTTCTGGAAATTATTTGGTAATTTATTATTAAGTAGAACGTTGTTAAAGCAAAAGTCCTTATTTCGCAGTAGATAATGTAATGATCTCGAAGTGTCTGAAAATTGTATACAAATTTTTCTGTTAGTCTTCCCGTTTATTTTGGGCAAAAAAAAAGGTCCTAGAAAATATATTTTGCTTTTCTGTCTGCATAACTAACCTGTTGAATAACCTAGTGCCGTGATCTAAGTCGAAAGCAAGCGTCTGCTCTCACAAAAACCAATTCTAACTAGAGTACGTCATTAAATTTTCGTTGTGCATTATAAAATTAATTAATCCGTAAATGTCCCTTTGTTGCCCATCGTAGCTGTCAGCACCTCGTGGAAATTTCCAAATTAGTGATGTCTCCGAAATGGACATTAATGCAATCATCCGAACCCTGTTTTACTATATAACAAACCGTCCAAACAGATAATATCTATCTATGACGACTAAGACGATATGACTTGGGCTATGGCGAGTAACAATGTACCCAAAACCGGATGCATCGAAAAGGTGTATGATATATATAAACTTAACTAACGTACATAGTTGACCTGACTCTGCAAATTAAAGCAACGAAGAACCGCAAGACAGACGGCACGGTTCTGCTTGCGGTTTTCGACTAGCGTAAGACCTTTAAAATGAGCCTGATTATTAATTAAATAATTAAGCAAATGGCCAGTCTGATTTTGTAACAACCCCCTGGAACTCGAAACGTAAACCTCCTAGCATATAGTCAAAATGAAGCTTAAAACTTATCTTGAGTCATAATAAACACCGTTTATACTCTCACGTTCCCACAAGTGATTACCATAACGAATTTGACATTAGACCTTATTCCTGTTTTCGGTCTTGAGTCGTCTAGCGTCAGGTTTAGCATGTGTGACTATTAGGTCATTATGCAACAGTAACTTTTGTCTGTTGCATTGGCATAATTGATCCTGCCATTACGTAAATCATTTTGGGCGACTCATAACCTCGACAGCTATGGCATCTATGTATTAGACACTATAGATATAAAATCTCGACTTGAGCTAGTTTCTGTGTATTATAACACCCTGTCTTGAACCTAATTTTACACACTCGTAAATATTTAGAGCATATACTTTATAAAATGTAACTGGCACTGCAGAAAGGCATCGTAATAAGGTTGCTATTAATTTCGTCCATGTATAGCCACAGGACGTGCTGACAGCTAAAAAATGGAATAAAACTCGAGGTTGTTTCAAAAAAGCTTAGTTTTGTAACAAAATCTGTTAATTAAAAGTTCACGCTTTGTTTCGCCTTGAATGTAGCGTCAGGTAGTTCTACGTAAATTATTTAAAACAATGTATATTTATTTTTATGCGGTCTTGAAAGAAACTCATGATCTGCATTTTGTTCACAGTTAAATTTCATCATTTAATACGCAGTACGATAAGGCGCAGTCGTTGTAGCAGAAGTTATTCGGCGTTAAAAAAACATAAAGCATAAACATATTCGAACAAAGAGAGGATCCCAAAATGTTTCTTTTCTATCTCCTATTTTTTTTTTTTTACTGCATTATGATGCTACGGCTGGTGAATCGTCATAACTGTTGCTCTTCATTCACTCGCCTTTTGTGCTTCGACAGTCTCAAAAAAACGAAAAATCAATCTTATACTCAAATTGCATTCGGAAGAGTTATTGCAAGCATAGGCTCGTAAAAGCTTTTAACGGCAGTGTTGTCATTCAGGAAAGGAGGATACAAATCAAACAAAAAGTTGTCGCGTTGAGGCAGTTTGCAATCGATTGGTACCTCTGTGTCCCTTGTTGAAGACACGAATTTAGTTTAAAGAGACAAAACATTTAATAGGCTAGTTGAGTGGCAAAAATTATTATTTCAATATGAAAGGTATGTTTCCTCCTCAAGTTTACGTATTATAGAATATCTTAACAAGTATCTCACTGAACAAAGGAGCTGGTGTTCCGTACTTTCGAAGAAAAGGAGCAAAGGCGAGGAATAGCCATATTGCTGATAGCATCCGTCCAATGTCATGCCCACCGAACTCATAGTTGTCTACAACGTAGCCAAGCATCAACGCCAACGGATTGTAAACAGCTGTCCATTCTTGCTCGCAAGCTAGGAGGATACTTCTATCTCCTATCAAATAGTGGCAGTAGCAGTCGTCGTAGCAGAAATAGTACAAATAGCACGAATACGTTACTCACTTCTTACCAAGCGTGCACTGAGTTTGGCGGGCAAAGCTGCCTCGAGATGAAAGGAATAGAATAGGAAAAACTCACGTCGTCAGTATGACTGTGCGGTCCCCCCCCCCCCTCTGATCCTCCGCCACAGAGGAGCCATCCAGCCTTGTCCTAATCAGCTGGAAGGAGAACAGAAGAAAGGTTACAGTCGTGTGTGCCGAGAGACGGAACCGGAGTGGCAAGCACCCTTAAGTACGAACCCGGCCCGGATAAAAGAAGCTATCACAGCCCGCGAGCCCATCCCAGGCAACTAAGCCCAAGTGTGTACTGTAAAAGCCCTCCCTAAGCCGACGTAAAAGTGGCTGACGTTGGAGATCTGGTATGTACAGATGGCTAGCAGAACCACACAACGTAGATGTAAGAGCTGTGAATATTTCGGCAGCTCACCCAATCAGCGCAGGGGTTTGCCGCTTTTCTTCTCTTCCCCATACGTTCTAAGCGACACGCGAGTCCAACGTTAAATGCGTCTTTGTATATGGCTTTAGGTGTGCACGATATACACTTCTACGGTCATTTTGGAGGAAACTAACTAATTCTTTCTTATTCACTTCAGTCGTCGCTACTTTCAGACATCTCCCATTTGCTATTTAGGACAGTGTCAGACAGATCGCCGCATCTTTTCACAGCAGCAGCGGCGACAAAAACAACATAAATATTTTTGCTCACTAACCCAAGACAAATTTGTCCGTCTACCTATGGGAAGCGTATGGTAGAGCGCACCTAAGAGGTGCCCGTGGCTGTGCAATCTCAAGCTATGCTCTGCCCTGTCGTTGCTGCTGCTAGCAGAGCTACATACATAGAGCGGGATCGGCTTGCTGGCTCAGGGCTTTGTTATCGATAAATCGAATCTCTTCACTCTCTGATTTTCATCCCTGCTGCTTTTGTCATCTTCGTTGTCGGCGTATACGAGATGGCGACGTCATTTCTCGCCTGCTTGAGAGCTTTGTCACGCCGCGGCCTTTCCTTCTCTGTCAGCCGTATCTGCCCTGGCTGCCGTACGCAGCAAGGAACGCTCTCTATAGACTCTAGTTGTGTATAGCCCACTAGCAGCCGGAGCATTCGCAAGGCAGAATACACCAGCTCCCTGTTTCTAGACCGACCGACCGTCAACCCAGTTTCGCCGTTATCGCCTGGGCGCACGTTCGGTCGCTTTCATAAGCGCGGCCGCTTTTGGAGTCCGCAGCGAAGCCAACCCACGTCGCCCCATAGCTCCAGAGGAGCGTCCGGCGAATGTGAGAGGGAGCGAGAACGGTTGGCGGCACCGGGGGGCGATGGCAATCCCAGAAGATTGCAGTGTAGCGGAGTGGCCTATGACGTGGCGGCCGGGGTCACCACGAAGTGCGAGCGGCAACCCCACCGCCGCTGGGCCGCCAACACATAAAAGGAGTTGCGCCCCTTTATTTGAGCCGAGAAAGCATAGAGTTTTGAACTAGCAAGGAGGTGCCACAGCTTTCAAGGTGAGTTGCATTAAGCCGAGTTGGGTTCAAGACATTCGAGAACCAAGTCTTCAGAGTGGTGCGATGTGGAGAAATCGGTAAGAAATGTGAAACGTCTGAAAAGCTCTTGTTCATCAATGAGTAAAGCTGCGCTATAGACAACCTTAAGGTAACGAGAGTGAGGGAGCAAACTAGTGGTTAACGTCAGTTGAAAAATAACGAACCCAGTCGATACCGTACGCATTTCGACACCATATGGTCTGGTTTCCATACGAACACCATTTCGTATACCATATGGCATTGACAGCCTGTTCTTTTTAGTTCAAACGAATGCGCAGATATTCTGTAATCCATTAAAAACGAGGCTAGAAGTTAGCCAAACTTTTTAAAACCGTTACGACTCATCAGCAATAAAGCGACCGATAAAACGTTCAGTTGTGCTAAGCATCAATGAAAGCCTTTATCGTTTAACTCTGATAAAACGACTTCACTACCTAAAATGTTTAACATAACCGAGAATAAGTCTACAATAGCGCCGCTTTTGTTACCGCTGAATACGGTGCTATGATACGACATACGGTCTGGTGACAAATGCTGGTCTCGTAATAACTTTAACTTCGGTGCAAACGTCGTGTAAAGGCTTCGTGCAATTTCTGTTGAGCTCGTCATATGTGTCACATAACATAGACTCAAAGTCAACGTTGGCCTGTGTATAAGACTGCCGTCTACTTTGACTTTAAGCATCTACTTACTTTATAAGTGGGATGGTAGACATAACTCTAACACCTATATGTACTCGCATGTTAAAGTTTTTGAGAAGTGTGGCGAAGGTCGTACTAGAAACGGAATTATCATGCTATCTTTCTTTTTGTTATATTGTGCGATTTGTTAGTCTTCTTTTTTACCTCTCTGTGCTTCGAATTTTGCGTCCAGTATCATGGTGGTCAGACATCCCATCAAATGACTGACTTCCTGAACGAAACGGGTCGTATGTCTATGCTCAGTTCGAACCTAAACCGCAGCTCTTTTATCTAAGCATTTCAACAAGACATTCATGATCGCTGCTTGCTGCCATATACGGTTTCTTAGACATAAGAGACTTAGCTCACTAGAAGATCATGTATGCGTATCCGATACCCGTCAGCTGCCATTGGAAAATCGATCGATCGATCGATCGATAGATAGCCCATCGTAGAATTGTACAAACAGTGATACTTCGGCGCTAGCTTCATGGAAAAATGGCTTATTAAAAAAGGTATGTCTGAAAGAGAACGGCATGAATTCTTTATTTGTTTAATTGAAAAGTCTTCGACAGCATATCAAAGAAATAGCTCGAACATTAACTTTCTAAAATTGGCAAAGTGTGACACTGTAATGTTCAGCTAGTTTAGAGATCGTATGATCTTTTTTGAAATCTGTGGAAATGGCTTAAACAAGTCAAGCTCACTTTGTATTTGTTTCTATTTATATTCATTGTAAAAACATATAATATATGCTGGTTGTTCAGCCGTAAGGGATTTTTAGCTAGAGATAACGCCATCATAAAGACACTGAAAAAAAAAGTTCAGTGAACGTGCATTACGTGAACACGTTCTGCAAAGTAAACGATAAGTTGACGCTGAAAATGCTTGACAGCTGTGATAAGTTTTGCTGCATACAGAGGTCGTCGATTGCATCATCGATGCGTTACCCAATTACTAAAACGCAGAGTAGCAAAAAAGGAAGAAACAGTCCTTGTCACATAATGAAAACTTAAATCGTGAAATGCACCGAGTATAATTACGCCTTCGCTGCTAATTAACTGAAGATTTAAAAAATCTGCTTCGAATCTCACCAGTGTCTCCTCAGATAGTTCGCATTCAAGAGGTCTCGACAGTGGCTTGTCTGGCAATAACTGACTTATGTTTTTGTCACTTAATTGTTATCATCATCATTTATCTATATATATGTTTATCGGGTACATGAGCAAGTTGATTGATACATAAAATACCTCATAGTACCATAATAATAATAAGAGAATACGTAAAAAAAATTATTTATCACTGAGTATACGAAAGCAGTAGTACTATTCCTCGAGCGTTTTTATAAAGAAACACTTATTCGAGCGTTTAATTCAAATTAAAAATCTAAAGAAAATGTAAACCTCACACACGGTGGAGCTACGCAGTATTTTTTACAATATTAAAATTTCTTAGAAAATATATTGTTTCATACCTCTGGGTAACAAACTAAGATTACTAATGCTTATTCAGCCGCAAAAATGTTTACTGATTTTTGATCAACATGGATTTTTTTATTTCAGACAAAACAAGAAAGAACACACTAGAAAAGAAAGCAAGTCTACACTGAACGTTTTTGCCCTCAAATGAAAGGTCGCATTGCCCTGTTGTCATATGAGAAAATTTGTGTATCTCATGTTCAGGTGCACTCAGAAATTAAAAAATAAGTCAGGTCAACTTACGATTGATGGTCGAGGGGGGAAACGTTTGAGATAGCTGCAGGCCAACCAAAATGAAAGTAACAAATCAATTTGGTAACGACTTCTGTTCAACGCTCTATGATATGAAATTCGAACGACGTTCAAACAGAAAAATCTAAACGTTACCCATACGCGTTACTGGTATTATAGTGTCCTATGCAGATAGGTGGTTCTGCTTGTCGATTTCTAACGTATACTTCTTATCCTAATAATTGTATGTAGATTAGCAGCGTTTTTGGGTCTCAATATAATTTTAACATATATTACTATTTCTTAGAATCACTGATTTTTTACTTTTGCAATTCGAGAAGAAATAGTCGCTCATGAGATTTAAAAATCAACTTCGGTAGTCTCAAGGAAGTCTTTCGGGTGAATTAACTGCGAGTACCTTATAAACCAATCATCTTTACCGATGATATTTTTGTGAAAGGGAATGCCTTTGTTCGCCTACCGTACTAAATAAAAATATGGCATAATTTGAGTTAAAAGTGACTTAGAGTAGAAGAATAGGCCGAGAAAGTGCATTATACGTGCATTTACTTGTATGTTTGCTTTGACCAGCCTATATATTACCAGCCTATTATAGAGCTATCTATCTAAACTTTCGCAGTATTTCAGTAATTGATTCCCACCATACTAAAGGTTGGCGTAATGTATGTGCACTTTTTTCAAGTACGTATACAACTTCGATATAGATTAAAACTGGAAATATCAAAAGATAAGGCCTCGAGTGAAAACTTTGCGATCACTGAAATCACAGCAGGACAACACTCAGTGAGACACTGCATCGCGCGCTCATCATAAAGCTTATGATAATCTGTGATTGCGCATAAAGCGCATTGGTGCCCAGGGACAGTAAACAAGGACATTTGCCATCGCACCAGCTAGAGTTCATTTGTGCTACTCTCTCTTCGATCTAATGAATGGATGATTTGCAAACCCCAGTTTCGGGTAAACCAAACTTGTTTGGCAAATCCTCGACACCGAACGGCATTGAATGGAAAGGGTATAGCACGCAAATGGATTGTCAGCCTGTAGACCGAAATGCTTCGAAACACAGTATCGAAGGGAATCATCCTCGTAACGGTGCAGTGGTAACGTATTTGCGTACTGAACTTATACTTAGTGATACCTATTGACTTAAACTCGAACCCAAAAATAGAGATATTTCGTTCCGTGCTGAGTCCAGCCGTTTAAAGCGATGGCTAACGACAGCATTGGACATTAAACTTACCAATCCAGAGGAGCTGATTTATTGTGAGATCCTTTCAATAGGTGGGATTTTGTTGGAGCTATATTCAGACGAGGAAGACCTACCTTAAGAAGGAGCTACCTTAAGTGAGCGCGTAAAAAGTTTGTCAGCTATTATTCTTGTATCACCCTCCTTAAAACATACTTACCGAATGAGATTCCACCGCACAAAAGGGTGTTATATATATATATATATATATATATATATATATAATAACTTGAACTACGCGTTGTAGTCGATGCCAAAATTTTAAGAAGTCTGATGTTGCATGTCGACTACCAAATTCGAATTTTCGTCTGTCGAACGTTCACCTTTAGTCCCTAGATGCAATTGCTAGCCAAGGTTTGTTGAAGATGAAAGCGGCTTCTACCAAACAAATACAAAGTCGCCTGCATAGCGCAACAGCTAAAGCGTCCGACCTCAGTAAACCATTGAAGTGTTATAGTTTAACCTTGTTAGACATATTTTTGTGGAAATATGTTACTTATAGAATTTACTTTTATTCCAGCAACAATTTGAAACTAAGAAACAGCCAGAAAATTAGGTCGGTTAGGATACAAGAATAGGCCACACTTAGAAGAATCAACTTACCGACTTTACTATTAAAAGGATACGTAAGGTACGAAACATGCTAATGTCTAACTTCTTTTTGCCACTTTAGTTTGAAAAAGATCACGCTAATCCTTGACGCAGCGCTGTCGACGAACTCCGTAACGACTACTGAAGCGTCGTGATGTGCCGCACCGCCAATAACATCAACACGAACTGCAGCGGAGCGATGAGTACCGCGCTGTTGACGGTTGCCCTAGTCATTGCAGTATGCGCGGTAGGTACTTTCGGAAAGTTAGACGCGGAATCACCGCCCAGCGCACCATCTCCAGTTGAGTACCCTCCCCAATACTTCGGTAAGTGCGTCCTACATGTGATAACTGTAGAGCCCATTAGAACAATTTGCGTAAATTATCCTGCGACATCGTCTCAAGTACACAGTAAGATGAGTACATAATTATTACTGCCACACGTAAGTAGTTTTAGTTATATCCGCTCTTAATCAACGATATAGCATGGCTGTTATAGCAACGAAAAGTAATTAAATCTATGCCACATACCAGAAACGTTTTCTAGCTTGAAAAAAAATTATATGTCTAAGCCTTCCTACCGGCTCTATTGGATTCGCCACTTTAAAGCTAATCTACAAGCTAGATCAGTGATTGCCGAGAAGGAAAGCAAGGATGACTAAGCTTCACAATTCTTCAGATGTCTGTTGAATATTTTGCTTCATTGCTGACAAAAACTTATGTACTCGCAACGGAAACAATTATATATAAATAGTTCTATTTAATAGATGACATTAGCCTGTACTGGTCGTCGTTTTACATATAGCATTTACAAACTGGCGACCCAACGAATTTATGCTTATGGAAGGTTTTGCCAGTATTTATGCAGTTGACCGCGGAATCAATCGACAATTGACCTAACATCTACAGATGTACTGTCTTGATAGTCCTGAGTCAGATTTTCTGGTTGATCTGTATAATAATCTCCGACAGGTATAGCTCGTCCTTCCGCTCAGAATTATTCTCATAGACATGAAATGGATTTTGCCAGAAGTCTCAGTTCATGAAGATCTTGATAGTTTAAAGTACGCAAATGCAACCGATGCTTATCAAGAAAAATTGCCGATGTCGCAAAGATGATGAGGAATTACCGTATCGGATATTCTAACCAAAACCTACTGGAGAATGATTGGACATCAAGACATGCTTGTTTAAATTGCGGATGACAGTAGAAGCCATGGTACGATAGTAACGAATAGACATTTAAGTCCACTAGGTCTATTTATAGCATTTCAAGTAAATATATCTCACAGGGTCTTAAATTATTATTGATGAAACCCTTTTTCTGAGTCTTTCCGCTTCGTGTTTTTCATTATTACTTAACCACCCGGCAAATTAATACAAGGAACGAGGATCACAAACAAATCTTTGATTAAATGATATTGAAAATCATAGATAGCGGTAAGCGAAAAGCTGATAGACTACCTGCATATTACGCCTTTCGTCTTCTTTCCTGCTTAAGATGCGCCCCTTGAAGCAGAGTATGTTCTTCTCAAAAAAGCTGACGTACCTCCAGCGCCTTGGAACCGCTTGTACAATGATTGGGGTAAAAGGTGAGTCCTTGATCGATGTATCATGGATCTAATTAAACCCCTAAGGCACGTTCTTTAGTTTCAAATGCCTTCAATATACTGTGTAGTGCAGTTCATAATGCATAGGCATTTACAAGACCACTAAAAACGAGACAGGAGAATCCTACAAATGTCTTCCTCGATTCACTCTATTTGGTTCACTCGATTAGGGCTGATAACTGGAAGAATCTAAATCACCTGTGGGGCAAACGGTCAGCTACACTTCCGACCCGGTGGGACAAACGCCCTCAGCCGCAGTGGAACGAGCTATCCGGTTATTGGGGAAAGCGTTCGGCCCAGTAAATGTACCGCCTGAATAGAAGTAAACAGAAATGTACTGCAGAAGAAGGCTAGCTCTCGTTCTCACCGCTATCCGTAAGTGAAAAGGACTTCGAAGACCAGGTGTCACCATGGGGCAGTCGATTTTAGCAGTAACCGGATTCGTAAAGGAGCCGGCTGGAAACGATGGAAAGCATACAAAAACATACATTTTTTTGGAGGCCTAAGGCCTCTGATGGCAAAAATTGTTTACCGCACACATAATCAATAAAAAATACTAAAGGATATATCCAGATTCGATGACAACATCATACTGGTCATAATGTCTAATGATTATAGTCTAGCAAAGGAATATAACTCAACTTTATCAAAAGAACGTGACTATGAACCTATTGAACAGGAATACCATTGCGAAGACGCTAATATCTTAGCGATAAATAATAAATATAAGCAGCTTATTTTCTAGATTACAACATATAACGTACGCATAAGTCATTAAAATAATGAAACAAATATGGAAAGGCTAATGTCGAAACGAATGGAAACATAGTAGGTTGAAACAAGCAATGACAGCACCAAAAACATCAAGTACTATTTAACAATCAATTATATCATTTACGTAAGAAGATACAAATAGGGACGGCACGGGTATTGCAAAAGGCAAAAGGGTGCTTCTCAAAGCTCTCCGATCAAGTTAGTCCTCTTTCCAGGACCGGATCGGCGCTCTGCACGAAGGTGCAGGCCGTTTTCTAATTTCTTTGCCACGCCGTGTTGATTATCATTAGCAAGAACTGAACAACCGTCACAGCCATTAGTTAACTAGAACATATACACAAATATCACCTTCACATGAGAAGACCAAACGTTATTTTTAAAACGTTTGTTCAATTCATAGCACGATCGAGCCTATGCATGACGAAACCTCAGGGAAAACAAAGTTCTCGTATCAACAGATCGGACAGACGAGGTAATGGATAGTGACAAGTAAGCGGATAATCGGTCATCGCCTCTTCGAATGCGACCGTAATCTCCGTGTGTATTGGCTTAACTGATCTCAATCATTAAGACAATCTATGACAAAATCTCATGATTGAAGACGCGTTACTGTATGGTGACATGCCGCATTGCACGGAGTACTAATTTTCTAGGTCTCAAGATTTTCAGCTCACTTGTTAATTCACTACTATGAGACCATATTTTTATCTACATATTGTTGTTTTGTATCATACAGATGTCCAAATTCAAGACGTTAACGCTCACGCTTTATGTAGATGAGGAAATTAGATTTACACTATAGGCAAGAGCTAAGTCCGCTAGCTTACCTACTGAAATATGAAGCATGTTTATATAGCGACGATTCTGGTATTTTTTTTTGCATGTAGAGCTACAAACGACAGTGTCTAGGATTCATGCTGCAAAAATAAACATTTTTTGATAGATCTCAATTCTCCTAAGCTTCGTTGTTACCACAGATGGAGTGACAACATCCACGAGGCCCTGGCACTGCGATTTATTCGACTTTTTCGGGACGTATGTTCCAAACGTTTTCGGTTCGTTAAGTATTCACTCGCGACACGGCCGTATACCAGCTTTCGTGCTCCACACTCTGCTCGTAAAGTAAATAACACTACTCTATCGCTTATAACAAAAACCACCCCCCACTGAGCCACGGAAATGCTAATTCGAAGCTGGAAAGAGAGAACAACTAACGATCAATAACATGTGACTGATAAAGCTTCAAAATAGTGCATAAGCTATATACGAGATAGTAACCAGGCAGGACGCAAATGATACCACACCGTAACCACTCTCATAGAGTCATTGGAAACACGGCTCTTATTCTACTGACGGTATTCTAACTTGCGACTTGTTCTACGCTACTTAATGCAATGAACGAAATTGTAATTCATTTTTTAATTTTTACATATATATTTCTTTTTATCACAAATGAATAATAAAACACATTTTTCAACAATAAATAACAATTCTGAATTAAGGAAAAATGAAAATACCAATAACTAAGGACTGCTGCGCGGAAGATACCCTATGGTAAGTTCACGTCTTCGTCTGACGAGAACAAAAGTAATTGCTAATCCCACAGATCTTCACTAAGAGACCCTTGATTCTCCCTTCCAGCAATATTGGACCCGAACGCAGCAACTAATATCAATGACAGGGCGGACAATAATATCACCAAAAGCAAGGAGAGAGTCTCAATAGGGAAGAGACGACCCATAGATTGTCAAATATAACAACTACGTACTTTAGAGACACGGCGATAACAATGCAATGCCATAATGTTGTAAAAGTAAACATGCAAATGAAGAGAAAAAAGACAAGTAAAAATCAGAACGTCGACACACAAACGAATGACAGACACATACTGAGTTATAAATGGAAGCTAATAAACAATCAGATTAAAAGCAAGAAAAAACAAGCGGCACGAGTGTGAAACCCAAAAGAATTCCGTAAAGATATTTGTTTACATAACGAAGCAGTCAAGCAAGAAATATAGCAGTCGATCAATGACGGGGTACTTGCTATCAAGCCAAAAATGTTGTTATTATATGAAATCTATATATAGTAGATAAAAACGTATAACATAAGCACACGATTATTATGCTAACGTACTTAAGATATGATAATGATAATAATATGTGTTATACATATATATGATGATAAAAAGATAGATATAATGGTACGAGAAAGTATTTGTAGATTATTATTATCAAACAAAAAGAAAGGGTGTGGTAACATCGAGGGAACGAAAACTGCGAGCCAAAGCACGTTGCAAGATTAAAGGCACACCTTCGAACCTGCTAAAGAAAGGAAGTAACGGAAAAAATGAAAAAAAAAAAAGAAACAGGCCACAAGAAAGAGAACAGAGTACTGCTGATAAAATTGCTGATGTCTTTTTGTTCGGCCAATCTCCAAGTACTTTGAAGAAGTGCACGATTTATGACTCCGTTGATTAAGAAGTGCACTTTTATTGAAAAAAAAAGACCTTAGAAATATATGGAACTAATCGTTTCTACTAGGACTATAATATCCCGCAGCTTATAATAATATAATCCAGCTAAAAGCTCATCTTAGGTACTGGGATTAGGAAAAACATTATTCTACGTCTGATGGAAAGTGTATTGATACTGGCACTAATCAAGCGTAAATTCAGAGGGGACTGATATAAATGTTCCAACTAATAATACCTGATAATGATTTAATATTGACGCAAAGGTCTGGTGTAAAAAAGTTACCAAAATGACGAATTAATTCGTTTAATTTTGTTTTGTAGTCAATATCTCAGTCAGTGCGATCGGATTGCACCTTACTTACTTAAATCTTATCTACCTTTGTTTATCTGTCAGTATAATAACGGAATTTATTTTTTATCAGACAAAAATTGCACAAACGTTAAAATAATAATTAATTATGCCATTCTCAAAGAAATTACCACAATCATCGCTAAATGAATCGACTAATGCTCATTATATAGCCTTGCAATTCTTCCTTCCATAGATTTTAAGAAAGGCCTTTACTAACCTATGTGTGTTTATATATTATTGCAACCAAATTATGCTGCGTTTGAAAATACAAAGCCTATGCTTGTGGTCTTTCCTTCATAAGCAACACTTTGTCTATACTAGGGAGCCTTATATTAGTATGTTTTCCAGAACGACAGCAAAATTTACTCCACGTTTCGTTTCCTTCGGCCCCTTGGAAAAACTCAAATGCAATAGCATAAAGGCAGGTAAAATTTTGCTTTGAACCATTATTTGAGGTCTTAACAACAATTTTTATCTAGTTGGATGCTTTGCAGTGATAATTCTAGGCGCACTTTCGCATCATCTATGTGTAGACCAATGCCAAAAATCAAGCGCGTATTACTGACTTGAATCTATTGTGATTCGTCCAAAACGAATCCGTGCGTGTATCACTCTATTAAACAAAACTTTGTTACTTCTATGAATCAATTTAACTGTAGAAGCAGATTGTAAAATTGCCAGATAAAACTGTACGAAAGTTTTTATCCATTGACCAGCGTTTAACCTTCCAGCTCCGCATATTTAACCTCTTGAATAGTACTACTTATTCTCAGTCATCTATAGCAGACTTAGAGCTTACCTGCTGAAAGGGGAAATTGCGGTGTCTAAGTCATAAAGGGCACTGGAAATCTTCTGAAGAAAATATACTATGTCATAGTGAAATCTTTATTAGCTAAATATTTTATTTCCATAAATACTGCAGGTAGACAAACACATACCCAAACGAGGTCAACATTAAACCTTGTATTTTGTTTTTACAATCGCCCCCATACGAAGCGAACGGCTTCGCCTTTTATACAATCTGACTAATGATCAACACTTATTACAATTCTCAGCAAGATTCCTCCTGCTGCTGTACAAAAATTTCTAACGTTTCTTTTGCTAATGGTATAATAAGATATTCAACACCATCATGACCTTTCTTTATTCGAACCATGTCATGGTCAACGAATTCAGTCAGCTGCGTACGGAGCGTAAGGTCGGAGTTGACGACGAACGCCTCACGACACATTCGATAGCAGTCTTGAAAGGCCATACCACGAAAGCTGCTGGCGGACGAATTGGCTGATGAACAACGTTCCAAAGTATAGTTAGCTATAATCATAAATACCTGCAAAAAACATACTAGAGATAAAAAAAAAATGGCCACGTACAGTGCGCCTCTGTGTTGGCGATCGCATTGTTATGTATTAATCATCCAAGTATATAATTTAATTAACAGTAGTGCCAGTTGCTGCCTGTCGCCTCATTGGTACTGCTTATGAAGCTGCTTGCTGTCAAAATCGATAGGAAACATCAGTAAGTTTTGAGTTGTTTGAAAACGATAGCACATATTAATTAAAATGAAAATCTAGTGTATGGAAACTATATAGCTATCACCTTTTCACTTGCATGTACGTATAGTAATAAACGGCACCACACATGCGCGGCATCTGCCCCTGCCATTTACAAACGCCTATTCTTATGCATCTATTCAACCGGGCCTTGCACGCGATAAGTACTGCACATTTGTCCACACTATCCTGATATTTGTACTACCTGACCTAAAGCAAGCTCAACTTGTTAGTAAATCTGTGAATCCCAATCATATTATAAGGTTTTAACAATTCTGTTATTTGGTTGCTTTCATTCATAATAACTCTGTGACCTGTTACAGGTATCATATTGCCTTGTATCAATTATATTCTGCTCTCTGCTCGCCCTCTTCGTGGTATTCTGCTTTCTTTAATAAAGCTAACCTTCACTTTCAAAATTCCATATAAATTTTAGGCTGTTTAAAAAACCAGTCAACTAAGCAATGTGATAAAATTAAGTTTTTTCAGAAATTCCTAATTTATTTTTCTAGAAAAGGCTTCGTGTTTAACTTCAGGGCGGAGAGTGAAAAAAATCGATTTCTTTAGATCAAATATGAACTTTGTATAGAACATAAAAAACGGACGATTTTAACATTAAAATGTTTAACAAATACTCAACCATTATTTAGTAAACTGAACGAATAGATAATTTTCCCTACTGTACATAAAAATACATAAAGTCTAAAATTTTTTTAGTCCCAAACTACTTTTTCCGAGACATGTCGCTTTTCCCTTGGAGTTTGTTTTGTCAAGCCTTTTACCACAAAACAAATCGCAAAAATTATTGGAACCAATGGTTTTTTATATACATATATATGCTTTCGCGTAAAGATTTTATGAAAAGCTCTAAGCGGAGCTCTGAGTTAAACAGTCACCCTAGAAAGCACAAAAAGGTCGTTCGGGTTAGATCTGTTAAACACGATGAGTGGTCAATGAACCCGAATCCCAACCCGCGAATTTTTGCCATGGTGATTACTGGAGTGCGAAACAAAGCAGTGCTTTGGTGGAACAACACTTCATTTTTCTCATACACCGATATTTTCTACAATTTCTTTTTTAAGCTCCTTAAGTACTAGTGCATAGCTTGCCCTCGTTATGATCTGCTTAGTGAATTAAGACATTTTGAGGACGATCTCAAAGAAATGTTGTGATCACTTTTCCAAATGCAGGAATAGTTTTTACCGTTTTCTCGCTTTTTGCGGTCATCGGTTCGACTGTGCCTTGATTTCTTGAGTATAGTGGTATAATCACGTTTAATCTAGCATTGTTATAAGTCGACATCAAAATATTGATTCATCTCGTTTAAATTGTTTTAACAGGGCCTTAGGAACGTTTATTTTAACACGTTTTTTGAGTTTAAGGGAGTAAATGCGGAACCCAGCACGCGATTAGCTTTCTCATGTTTCATTCTCCGGTCATTATATGATAAATACGTTTTTTGTAGATGTCCGAAGTTTATTATATTTATCTAACCTTAACTCGACGGTCGTTTATGACTATTTTTTCGATGTTATCGGTCATTGTTGCAATTTCTGGTCATGCCGCACATTCATCGTCAGCTAATCTAATACGACCATGTTTAGATTTAGCTGCCGAAAATATGACAGTGGTCAACAATAATACAGAGTGCCGATCGTGATTTGATTTGCATAAGGGTCCGAACTTAATGATGGCTCGGTATACAAATTATTTTTATTTTCATGGAAACACCAACACCGGCTGCCGCAAACGACTGCTAGATAGAAAACCCGACAAGACTAAGATTTTTTGGAGCATTGCCAAAACATTTTCGAAGAGTAACGTTATTTTCATGTTAAAGCTGGACACTTTTTCAGACTACCCATACGTGCACAAGATGTGGAATTTCAACTAGATCAAACTTGGGCAGGCAAATATACATTCATTTACTACTTTTTGTCCTTTGGAAAGATAGTTTGTTCTAGGACAAAACAAGAAATTTGTCATGGCGAAAAATAATACGTCATTTTTGCACCTGAGCAAGGATTAGCTACTGTCTAATCTTTTCGCGCTGTGCTAAGCCTCAACGAAATTAAAGATTTCCTTTTTGGCCCGAACTCGATGGTTTACATTATTGCCAGTTTTACGCAGCTTTTGAAAAGCCCGAGATTTTTAAGAGGTAAACCGGGACATCCTCCATATGGTTTAGACTTAAAGGCCTCAAATGTTATCAAAATAGCCCAAACCAGGGAGGAAACATTATTGTCAATTGAGTCGTCTAGATAAATTCTTACGGTTAGGTCTTTTAAGACTTTTTGGTCGTTTTAACCGTAATATTTTGTGGGACTTTTGCCCTGCTATCAGTCCTAAAATTGTTGCAGCTGGAATTTTTCGTATTCAACGCGTTTAAGCAACACTTTTATACCTGTTCATACCGCTCGATGCACAGTTATTATTAGAAAGTTGTTAAAAAAGCAGCATTTTTGACTATGACTAGTGAGTAATTTAAGCCCCGAATTGAAGCTGCAACCATGGTAAATGGTGATTGTATCGAACCAATGCAACCATCCAGAATAACACTTCTAACAAATAAAGCTTCTTACATAGAAAGAACTAACTTTCTTTTAATATAAAGATTAATAGATGAGCATATACCCGCTACAACAAACAGCTCTTACTTCATTATATGGGCCACCCCGTATATATATGAGATTCTTAAGCATGAAGCGTGACATTTATATAAATAACGTTGTTTTGTTACAACAGGACATTTTTTTACACTTGTTGTATTCGAGGTGCGCTTGTACTTTTCAAAAGCTCAGCCATCGAAAATCAAAGAATTCGATTGGTTTACAAATTTGAGTTCCGATTTGGAACTAGAGCGGCGGAGGCAGTTTGTCGTATAAACCCGTTATTGGTTAAAGGTTCTATTACTAGAAACATCATGAGCCGTTGGTTCGAAAAAAACATATTTTTTTACCTCGGTTAAATTAATTAGATAACTGGACTGCATTGTTCGAGCAAAAATAGAAACGTAGAGACATGTTTCCCTTAGTTGTTTTATTACAGCCGTGGCCCGTTCTTGCATCGAATTGTGACTTGTGATAAAAAAAAAAAGTCTTCCCCTACGATAGCCGCAATCTGTCAACAATTGGAGAAAATCAAAAAAAAAAAAAGCCAGTAGTGAACAGTGGTAAAATACTCTAATTGCGCGGGCACACCTACTTCGTACCGCAGTACTTACAACGGCAGAAATGAAAAAGTTACAGATGTAAGCTTTCTGTCTTCTGCAATACTCTCCAGGCATTGATCCCACAGATTACCATGTTTTTAGATAACCTCTTAATGAGAAATATATTTAAATATCAACATTACGTTGGAATTGCCTATCAAGACTCTATGGATTTTCATATTCTAAACCTCTACAAGAGAAAAACAAATAAGTTACTATCCAAATGACAGAAGGTAATAATGGTGTATATTTCGACTGAAATTAAAAAAGCTAAGTCTGTAAAAAAGTTGTTAAAATTAGAGTTTACTATATCACATGTCATGCTGGACGATCTTATACAATTACAAGCTCTGACCTGTTTAGAATGGGATTAACTCTATTTTTCTTTCCCAAAATCGAAACATGTATAAATATTCAGGTTTGATAAGACGACAGGTCGTTATTAAACAGCCCCCTAAACGGTGAAAATGCGAGCAGGGTACATGCGTCATCGATTAAAAAGGTCCCAACGCCCAACTTTTATATATATTTCTTACCTTTTTAGCGTTAGCTGTAAGTGATGCGAATACGTGCTCAAGTGAGGACAAAGTGTTGGCTGTCGAGGATTTCAGAGATTCCGAAAAAAGCTCCAATACGTATGGTTCGTAGGTCGTCGCATCTATCCAGACCCATCTGTTAACAATAAAAAAAATCTACTGTTACCAGATTGTGTTGTTAACCTGTTGTATACACATAGAACTTGGTAGCTTTAAAAATGCTTGTGACATCGGGTACGTTCGTACACCATGTTTTTAAGAGCCACTATTATTTTTCACAAAAATTGTTTATGACCATAAATAATTGTTTGATAGATTTTAGACGATTGTACCTCATAGCGCTTGCCCGATTTAGGTCATACAGAAGTGGCGCATTGATATGGTTCACGCTGCCGACGAAATGAATTCTAGGGGCACAAGCCAAGGTCTCAAACACCTGAAGCAGCCGAGGGTTTGTGAGTGCAGGGGAGTCAATCGAGTTTACGAGGAGAAAAAGATGAAGCGCATCAGAGCGAGCAAAGTAAGCGCAGATAAAGTCAACCTAAAAGACCAAAGAGTTATAATTAATCAAATAATTGTGGACATAGAAATAACCTATGAAGAATTCTATGAAAAAATACTCTCTTTTGAATAAATACAGAAGACCTTTTAGTTTTCTTGATCTATAATCTATTTTATTTGGGTCATTTTTTAAACACACACTCATCTCTCATGGGTAAACAGCATCCTTGAGCGTAATAACGTTTCGAGTTTTTACCTTAACTATATAACATAAAACGAGATGGATCATTTTTCTTTTAAGGATTTCTCAGCATTACTCAGGGATGCCAATTTTCGAGAGAACGACAATAGTTTATTATTTTTATATAAATGCATTGATTAGGTCACACAAAATTTGTCCGCATATCTCATGTTAAGTTCCAGCAGAAAAAGCTATTCCACTGCAGCAAATATGAAGTCATGAACTTGCCTGAGCTTGTAGCCCTACAATTCCCTTGGGTCGCTCTTCAATAACATATTCAAGTATATTAGTGACTATTTCCTGCAGGCCACAAGTTGGCAGGAATCCGTGGACGACCATGGTGGTGTAATTTTCTTTCTCAAGATAGTCTACAAAGTTACTCAAGACCTTCACCTTTGAACCAAGTCCATATAAGAGCAAGTTCGACCCTTCCCGAGCGAGTTGTAACCTATTTGAAGATCATATCAAAATTATTAATAATTAATTGAATAAATAAACATAATTGACTGGTATTTTCTGTAGATGAAAAATTCGTCCAGAAACGATTGTGCATTTTGAGCTGTAAAAGTTATAAAGGTAATCATACAAAGCTATCCTATTTTTGTCTTCAGTGAAATGAAAGTAGTTAACTTAGTGCAAAATATCGGCTTTATAATTTTAGTGTAGTATCTTGTGACAATACGTTCGCATAGTTCAGATTTCGGTTGGAGTTGAAGTTGTCTTACGGACCAAAAAGAGAAATTTCGTGATAATGTTTTGAGAATTTTCTCACGATGTCCGGCGTGAGTGTCTCTCTGACTTTTAAGTATAGCAGCAATCTGTTCCTCATTCAACATCGAGGCACCTAGCTTCGCCAGCGTGTGATCGCTGGTCGTTTTTCCAACTGCTCGCTGGCGGACGCTTTGATTGAAATAATCGTGAACTGTATCGTCGTCGTCCTGTAACAGTATGCCAACATAAAATAGCTTGTTACAGTATGTGATCATATGGTAGGATGGCTGAGGAAGAAATAATAACTGTAATGATGTACACTTTTTGCATTCTAGTAATAAACATGCCGTGTTTACTTAGAGCTTACTATGAATTTATCCGTTTGGGTATTGCGTTTAAATAAACTGATTATTGAATTAAGTTAGTGTGATATATATATATATATATGTATATATATATATATACAAAAAGCAGAAAGACATTGACGCAAATCCAGCTGCAATATAAAGACTATTATGCCGGGATTTTTGATCACATACCAATAATAAAGTACATGAAACCTTGAAGTGAACAATCGATTCTATGTAAAATAAACAAACGGCTCTTAAATTTATGCAACAGACATGTGCCAGCAGCAAAAAAGGCAAAGTACATTACTGTTACTTTTATTATTAAAAGATTTAATTTAAAGCACGGAGTTTGTTTTTTACGTTCTACCTCAAGCAGCACCTCGTCGTCATAATTTTCATCATCGTCTTCACTATCTTCCGAGTCAATGTAATTGTTAAGTGTTTCTTCTTTTGATTTGCCTAAACGTGCAGCGATGTTGCGTCTAGCGGCACGAGGAGTTATAGGATCGAGTCGTGTTCGAGGCTTTCGGCCGCCTGTACGGCTAGACGGCGTTCCGGAGTTGCTATATTCGTCGCCACGACTCGACGGAGTACGTGATGATGGGGCTTCCTGCTAAAAAAATTTGGCCAGCAATAGTTATATGAAAAGACGTTGCATTTGGGTGTTAGAGTTATTGTCCAGCCTATGCAAACTACCTATGACAAGAAAAATAGTGAATAGTCGCAGGTTAAAATGATGATAAACTCATTATTTACAGCACTTGAATTTCGTGTCGAATGTTAAAGCAGAACAATAAAATACGGTATTTCAGCTTCTATTCATCATTGAAATAACATAGTCACGCGGTGACTATCAATATAATATGTCAACAATAATGCATATCTTAATTTAATTACACCCACTATTTAGTCTGGAACGCCCCGTATATGTGTGAAATAGAGGTTGTCGATCTCCATAAAGTCAACTGTAGCCGACATATGAACATATTTTTACCGATGATGTCGGCCTCCGCAATCTGATCGAGGGTGTTCTGATCGCACTGGCAACTTTTACTGAGGGTGACTGGACGCATCCAAAGCTGTACATTTCCCTACCAACGGATGGCAACGCAAAACCGTTTTCTCGCTTGGACGGAGTTTGTGGATTATTCTCATTCTCTTCCGTAGGTTCAATATTTACGTCGGTATCATCATTGCAAGCCGTTTCTATATAGCACACGAAAGGGCCAACGAAAAACGCGAACAAATTAAATGCTGTCATATATATAATTATAACTATAAGTAAAACTAGTCAGTTTGTAAGAAACATTTACGCACCGCTTGAAATATTCGCGTACACGTTTGAAACGAACATGTACAAACGATAACCAGAAAAGTATCTCTGAAAAAATCTCGTCGCGTTCGGTACTACTACTAAAAAACTAGGTAAAAGTTTTGTGCTTTGAATTGCTTTGAACTACTACTACCGTGCATCAGGCGAATTACAGGGAAGCTGGTTCATGCATTGTCCACGCAGAAACAACTTTCGTCCAGTAGTTTTGTATATATGTAAGTCTACTTTGACCGAAGAATAGAAATGTAAGAGCACATAGCATATACGACATTCGTTACTCTTGTTGCCAATATATTATATAACTATATATTGTGTGTATCGTCTATATAACATAGCTTAGTGAGTGCATTCGAAAAATGATAAGCTATTGCTGCGACTGAAGCCCAACATTCAATAACATTGCAGATAATTAATTCGAGAATCGAAAAATTCTAGTAAGCTTTGTTACCCAATTTAGAACGTAAAACAATAATATAACAGCTATACTACAAACGGAAGCATATACCTAGTTATCGTAAGCTACAAGCCAAATTTATTACTTCGCTATTTAACGACTAAGATAACTGATTTATAACATCTAAAACCTTGCTGAGTTTAGCTTACCCATTTTATCAATAGTCGGACTATAGGTGTCCTTATCCATAGCGGCGTGCTGAAACCTAGCATGCTCTTTTCTGCTCTGTTCTTGCTGTTTTACGACACAAGTTCGGCGAGGTCGATTTCTGCTTTCTTCCATATTGAAACTATAATACAAAGGAGCCCATGAAATTTTATGCTCTTACTTTTGGATAGACTAAATTACTGTGATTTCGCATTCGTGTTGCCTAGATTTTATCCGGTTAATGACTGAGATATTTTTCACTGGCATCGGTTGTTTGACCTGTCATGTTGAAACGGATCATCACACTCTGCATAATGGATTATATTTTTTCAGGTATCTTACCAGTCTGATCAATACAGGTATCTTTGTAACTACCTTTTTAATAATAAAATATTACGTCTATTAGCGAACAGAACAACCTATGCAGGATGAAACCGTTTCTCCTTTGTTACATAGAGATATGGAGATATTGTTTGACTGTTAAAGTAAAAAGTAGTATTTTAAGAAATATAGCACCAGGTTTCTAGTACATGTAGAGACGTTCGATTTGAACGAATTAGCGTAATGGTCGTCTTGGTGAGACAATTCAACATTCACTGATAGTTATATCAGTTGCTTAATATTAGATCGGGCTAAAAAAAGTAAGAAATTAGTGCACAGTGATATGAACAAGCACAGGCGTAAAAGACCAACATTTCTCTAAATAAAATGAATAACAGTATTTTGCCTAAAGAAATTTGAATTATGCTTGAAATATCCATTTGATTAAATTACCCATAGTTCCTTTTTGCAAACTGCTCATCTTTGCCCAAACGATTATTAGCCCTATTGATATATATCACTGCGTGTATAAGAACGTAAGTGCCCACAAATATATTCATCGTAAGTATTAAGCGTTGGCTTTATTAAATCCACGATAAGTTGGGACACGAAATCGAATACGTTCTAAACCTTAAACGCTTCCGAGAACTTACCTGAATTTTCACCGCAGTTATTCTTAAGTCACGCAGTGAAATACCTGAGGAAATTCAAACACGAGCTCAGCTGGTAGAAAATGGCGCCAAAATCGCAAAACAAAATATCGCATATGAAGCGCCACCTGACGACGAACACATGAAGCTAAGGAAGCGCGATTTTCGACTTAATTTTATGGATATATATTTCTATGGAACTCTATCATTACGAAAGCAATTGTAAGCGAACACAGCGGGGTATTCAATTAATAAAAAAAAACACGTGAAGTTTGAACCCAAGTTTAAATAAAAAAAATGAGAGCTGCAACTATTCTGTAAAGAGTAAACAACGATCATTTTAATACCATTATTACAATAGCCTGTTGTGAAGTGGCTAAGCCAAACTCTCTGTAGAGTATAAGAAATTACTGAAAGAATAAGAAGGGCAATATTTACTGAGTGTACTTCTGTGAACTATCGATTTAATTAAACGTTAACAAAATAATTTTATAGAAATATTACCGTGAAGCTTTGTGCTTACGGACTCAACAACTTTATAACATATATGAATCTCCCAAGCAAGCAAGAAAGACAGAGTTCTGATATCACAAAAGCGTCAGATACCTCTTTGATCCGTCAAGATCAGCGAACTTGTCGCTTTCTGCTCTGTATGGCAGTTCTACAAGGCCTATAATGTCAAAATTTGACCGATCAATCCTGCACTTGAGCATGTTATTGGAAAGGAATCTCAGAAAATGTACTTACATTTCTTCATAAAAAGGATTGTAAGTCTACATTATTTATCCATCCTAAGTTATGCGATGCACAGTTGTTGTCATACCTTGATAATGTAGTAGTTTCTACTTGTTGCCCAACAAAGCACTACTTGCAAATATTTTCTCGTATCTTTCGAATACTTGCTTAGGCAGTTGAAGTCAATGATTTGCTTTTTATTTTCTTTAATCCGCATATTTTTAATCTAACGTTTTAGGCAAGAGCTTTGAGCTTTGCTTAATTTCTGACTTTGGTCTAGCCAATTTGTTGCCGGTCAAATAATTAATCAAATAATCTAAGGTAGTGACTCGTGTACGGCGCATAATGCCAGTTTAATTGTGAGATATAGTTCCGAATTTTAGAGTTTGCCTTTATGGAAACATCTATTCAAACGCAGTAATTTAACTTTTAGAGGTTAAGCTACGAGCCAAGGGTTACGGAAAAGCGTACATAAGGTCAGTACTGACTGAATACATTAGATGAACACGGACCACGCAATGTTCAATGATAAGCCCTATCTTTAAGGAAGATGTAGCTTCAGAGATGTAACAATAGATAGATGGCAAGATAATCTGTCATTGTGTAAAAGCATAATCGCCTCCTCAAAGAGTCTCGCCAAAATTACAAAAATTTTGGCTATTTTCAATAGCTTTTCATTTGAATTTAAAAACGGAGCATAATTTTCTCCAATATTCGGCTGTTGCGATACGCCATCCAGTTAGGAAAGTGAACACAAATCTCAGTGTTTCATGTTAGTTGGTATCTAGTTTCGTAAGTTATCGTAGTGAACAACTATAATATAGACGTGGATCTTTCTCAACGTGTAAAGAAAATAAACATGGCACCTGTGAACTTCATTTCCTATCATTGTTAAAAGAAATGCTAAAGGCAATTATTCAACCTACTATATCAGCTTTATATTCCGCATGACAAATTCACTTGCGTTTCACAAAACTCAATACTAAGCAAGCTGGCCATTTGTTTTTTGCTACTTCTCATTAAAGAAAGCATGTCGGGCATTTTTTCATACAAATAAAAATATATTTATTGGAATGTATTTTGTCGTTTCGTCGGTTACCCGGGTGGGAGGCAGTAGGCGGCGTCTGGGAGCCGGTGGCAACAACGCGCGGGTAACTTCTACACAGTTTCTGTTTGTTGCAGTTGTCGCATTTGTTTCTGTCTTAAGTTACCATAATCCTCAGCCGTTTTTAACATATCGTTCTTTGATTCCAAGTCTCCTACTCATAGAGTAGGTCGATTTTTCGGTGCATATTTTTTGTTACCAACATCATCGTGAATGTTTTGTTTTTATTTTTTTTTTTATCTGTCATTACCACTGAGGTAGCCATTCTGGCGCAATCGCACGCTTGTTGGCACAACATCGTCAGCGAGCGCCTCGAGCTCGATGAACAATGTACGACACACGTTTCGAAAGCTGCGTTGTTTTTGTTGTTGTTTTGTAGACATTTGCTTGTTTTCTTGCCTTTCAGTTTATGTTGTCGATCTCGCCGCCAACCTAATCGATCTCATCGCTTTTCTTCCATTCGCTCGAAATTCAACTTGCATACTCGCGTCCTCGTCATCATTCGCTCGTCGTTCGAGCAACCCCACCATTACGGTCAAAAGTTTCACCCATTCACTCGCACTTCATTCTGTTCCCATCACCAGTGTCATCATCATCCTCGCACCCTTTTGCTTTACCTACATAGAATCCATGATAAATATATCATGGCAAGCAACTCGCCATTAGCGATGGCTATAGCAGCCTTTGCAACTAGGCATTACTCCTCGTCATCGAACTATTAGTAGTATTTGCAGTAGCAGCAATGATGAATAGTTATGTACTACGCACAATAATCGAACGGGTGACAACGTCTCCCTAACTAACGGGGGCCTGCGTGACCCGCCTATCACGAGGCGGCGACGGCGAGCTTCGGCAAAAAAGAATACACGTAAATGATGGCATCGTGGACATCCGGACATACAGCTTTTGCTCTCTCTCTCTCTCTCTCTCTCTCTCTCTCTCTCTCTCGCTTCCTGACTCTTTATAATGCCTTAAAAACGACTGCTATTTTTCCGCCAAGCAGATATTGTCTAATCGAACGTGTTGTAACCCGGCGTGGCCAACAGCAGCAGCGGGAACGAGACGAAGTTTTCCATCATTGGTGTCAGGCACAAGCAACCTGTTTACCCCGTACCATATGGAACTCTATTGAATGTTCGTGTGTCCGTTTGTCTCCATAATAGAGGGACGACAGAATATGGGTCTTGAGCATCGTCTCCTTGGCCAATGGTTGTTACTTTCTGTTCGTCTGCCACCACCTTCTACCTGTGTATGTGTGTGTGTGTGTGTGTGTGTGTGTGTGTGTGTGTGTGTGTGTGTGTGTGTGTGTGTGTGTGTGTGTGTGTGTGTGTGTGTGTGTGTGTGTGTGTGTGTGTGTGTGTGTGTGTGTGTGTGTGTGTGTGTGTGTGTGTGTGTGTGTGTGTGTGTGTGTGTGTGTGTGTGTGTGTGTGTGTGTGTGTGTGTGTGTGTGTGTGTGTGTGTGTGTGTGTGTGTGTGTGTGTGTGTGTGTGTGTGTGTGTGTGTGTGTGTGTGTGTGTGTGTGTGTGTGTGTGTGTGTGTGTGTGTGTGTGTGTGTGTGTGTGTGTGTGTGTGTGTGTGTGTGTGTGTGTGTGTGTGTGTGTGTGTGTGTGTGTGTGTGTGTGTGTGTGTGTGTGTGTGTGTGTGTGTGTGTGTGTGTGTGTGTGTGTGTGTGTGTGTGTGTGTGTGTGTGTGTGTGTGTGTGTGTGTGTGTGTGTGTGTGTGTGTGTGTGTGTGTGTGTGTGTGTGTGTGTGTGTGTGTGTGTGTGTGTGTGTGTGTGTGTGTGTGTGTGTGTGTGTGTGTGTGTGTGTGTGTGTGTGGGTGTTGTGTGTGTGTGTGTGTCTGTGTGTGTGTGTGTATATATGTATATATGTATATATATATATGTATATATGCATGTATATAGACTACTTGCTATGTATAGTCAGCTACTATTACCTTATCTCCTCTCATGATCAATTTAGTTCAAGTTTTAGAGCCATAGTTTTCGGCAATTGTCCGTGGTTCGCCGACGGCGCTCTATCATGTCAGTCGTTTTATAGTGAGTGATCGACGCGTATAACGTATTTGCGTTTCTCAATGTTGGTGTATTTTTTTTTGTCTATTTTTGTTGGCTGGGGGTTGTTTTGACTTACGCGAGCCTTTTTTTAATATCTAGATGTCGTGTTATGGTTTGCTTCTTTTCCCACTTTTATAACCTGCACGTGTCTTATTTTTTATCACTTGTAGATATAATAAATAGCATATATACCCTTCCGTTGGCCTTTATTGCCGCTCTACGCAATGATGATCAATGATATCAAACATTCAAACAACTAACCTAACCTCTTATTCTATTTATGTCATTTTGCTCTTTCTCTCTCCCTCTTAATCTTGCAAACATGAAAAGAAAAACTATGATTGAAAAACAAGTGTACACGAAAAAACAAAAAGCTTGACTCGCTGACCTCAACTGATGCACGCGGTAGTCATTAGTACATTTGATCTCATCTTATTATTATCATCTCAGCGTATAATCATTGTCGTTGTTGTGATACACAGTAATATATAATATATATAGCTATAATGCTTATTATATATATATAGACTGTAATAAATAAAAAATGAGAAGCAAATGCAACAAGGGGTGTGGTCGCCGACTTGGTCGGCAGTATTATAGGGCAGCTATACCGCTTCTGAGAGAAAAACAGAAAGCTAATGAAACGGTTCTTTATAATAGCCCACTTGACCTTGAATTTTCTAGATGCACATGCAAACTTACAGGTAATTTAAATAGAGGGGTCAAAAAATTACATCTTAAAAATATTCCTTATAATATTATATGCGGTAGCTGAAAAATGGTGGATTATTATTTTTATCTCAATAATATTATACTACGACAATTAATTTGGTTCACTAACTAAAAATGCCATACTGCATAAAACGTCTGCAAAAAACGAATGGGAGAAGGGGAGCGAAAACACATTCATAGAATTGTTGATTGATAAGAGCCACACCTGCACCATTAACTGCACCGGTGCAAAAGAAGATTGCCATCTTCTCCAAGCCTCTATTAACAATCACATTATTAACAACAAGGTGCCTCAGCGACCACACCTCTTTGGTTTTGGTGGCTCGATCATTGCCCTGCACTTACGCAGTGGGACAGAGATGCGCGGCCAGAGATCGGAACATCCGAAAACACGTCTGCCCCGCCCAGTTCAAGCCCGTTCAGAACGGCTCCACAATCAACACAAATGCTACACGTATCGCCGACTATCTCAGATCATACGAAAATTATATTCTCCAATACAAATTGCAGCGATGAACCGCAGAATCCGTTTCTACTGCAATATCCATTGTCAATACACGTTTATGTTATTGTTGTTGTCATTGCCATTGCAATGAGCGTCGATGAAAGGGACTACTAGTTGATGAAAATGAGTATATCTTGCAAAATCAAGAATTTTCTAGGTAGAGCTTCGATGACTGCAAACAAACGATTTCGGCACCTAAAAAACTACGCAACCGGCCGATACCGACAACGGCCGAGAGACGGATAAAAAAAGATAGACCATTAAGGAATTTCCTCTCATTCTGATTAACTACAATGGATGAGAAGATGGAATGTTCTTTGCATCGCCTGCTACACTTTACCTTAATTAGAGACCAATAACAACTTGATCGATACAAAATGAATCGAAGAACATCAGATATCAGAGAAGAACATCGGATATTGAAAAAGTATGCTATTGACATAGGCTAACCAGATAGGGTTTCGAATTCGCGACAATGGCTTATGAGAAGTGGTATGCACGCATGTTGTTTTTGTCGATTGGTATATTTTGCGTTCCAATGCAGGCTTACTTTTCGAAAAGTATGTGACAGTCCGCTGACAGGTTATTGAGGGACATCCTTAAGAATTGCCTTTGACAGCCCCTTTGAATAGACTGAACCGAGCAGGCCGAAGCGAATCCACAAATTAAACGAGCTGCTCTTTTTTTCCAGCAGCTGTAGCAGAAGAAATGCTACTTCTCATTTCCATTTTTTATACAGAGAAACAGTAAGGGAGAGAGTTACCTTGGCGACGTTCGTTAAAACCGTCAATGCTAATTTACATCAACATGCTTCTTTCTTCGTTCAACTTGTTATGTACAATGCAGCCTCTTCGGATTTCAGTATGTTGTTTTCTCTACAAAATTCTATCTGCTGTGATTGAATCTGCGTGCTTCCGAAGACAGCGACGGCAAAATGCATGGGTGCGCGCATTCAACGATCGACTGGGAGCACTGGCGTCTTTCAGCGGTTGGTAGAAGCTTTTAAACAGCTAAGAAGATGGGACTTACGTGCTCAGAGAATAAACTGTACGGAGGTCAGGCTAACGACGGCAAAAATTCAACGTCCATCACCTGACATGATACATTCACACAACAACCAAACTGCTGTGTCTATTCACTAGGCTAGTAGTAGCAGTCGCTCCGTAGAACACGACATAGTCGAACGATACTAATTTGACTTTACAATACAGCACAGAGGGCGAATAAAATCCAATTAGTTCGTGTCTTACGCAACGATTACCGCTGGGCTAACCCATCACTGTACCACCTCAGCAGCTCTACTTTTGCATACATTTCAGAGGGATCAAAGACGAAAGACCTATAAACGACTATCCGTATAGAGTATTTACTACTCTAGCGTATAGCTTACCCTCAACAACACATTATCGGCTGTTCGCTTTAAAGCGGACGTTGCTTATAATACAATTAACGAACCTTCCCTTGTCTACCGTATAACTATAATACTACTATGCCATCTTAACACTACTCGAGCAGCTGCTATATTGTTAAACTTCGATCGTAAAAACGAAAAGTTCCCTCCGTTTTTCACATAGACAGTGCACACTTCATATACGAAGATGAGATTTCGTGTCACCGTATCAGTGTCGTTATCCTGCCATCTACCTGCTCCCATCAACCGCAGTATCACGCTGTTCAGGCCTCCATCATCCCCACAACTACCGTTTACGATCATAGCGATCCTCGTTTTTATTTGCTCTTCATTAATTTGTTGTTTTTGATGCTGAAACAACCCATGACACCACACAAAAACTGATGAGTCGCTGACCAGTCAATCACTAGTGCGAGGAAATCTGCCTTTTTGTTTTTCTTACTCAGTTTCGCAGCCTGTCACCATGCTCAACCACCTTCGGTGTTACCGTCGTTAATATCTTCATCACCACCATCTTTATCAGCGTAATTAGTTATATTATTACCGCAAAAAACTATATACAAACAGCATTGAGCTAGGTAGAAGGGGCCGGGGAAAAAACATGACTGGCTAAAGCCAACCTGCGCTCATCGTTCTGTCCGTTATCTCTGTATGCACTCCCTCCTTCTTCTCTATTTTTTTCTGTCTATTGGAGATCAGCTGTATCCAACCATTCATCCATCCAACAACATCATTATTATCGACATTAATCTGTTGTTGATTTGTCTTTATCTTTTTTGTCCGTCGTGTGTGATCATCGGTCCGTCTATATGAATATTTTCGAATTGCTAGCCCGAAAATATCTTAGTGTCTCGCAGCATTTCCTGTGAGTATTGGTACGTAGTATCTATCTGCCTGTGTGGCATAAATATGACCAATGATCGAAGATCTTCAGATGCTGATAGAGCTATTGTTAGTGAGTCTGTTGTTTGTTTGTTTGTTTGTCTGTTATCTGTTTCTTCAGCAATTAGTTCGTAACTGTTTCGTGATAGTTTGTTTTTCAGCCTATGAAGATGCCGCTCACATACCACAGACTGCCACACGCACACACAGTTAGGCACAGTATTTTGTGTTGTGTGTGTGGTCGTTTCTGCAGCGGTCGAGCAGACAAAAGGAACGGATACGTTTGGCTGCAGGCCAATATCAGTAATAATATAAATTCTTAATCATGGGCACTAATGGTCGCCTGATTACGCGGTCTTGACTGCGAACCCCGTCGGTAATTGTTGCCACCACGGCCCCCACCGCTGCTGTTGTTGAAACTCCGATAGCCCTCTTGGTAACCGTTGCTTGGCTGACCACCCGCCCCGTAGTAGGTGCTGCCCCGCACGCTGCTGTTGTTCTGTGAGTAACCTGCAATTTACCAGCCAGTAAAGTCCGAAACGACAATAAGTGATTTGATCGTTTGGAAGTTTTCTAACTTCAGAAAGGAAGATCAAGGTGGTACTGCATATTATTTGCAGGAGCCAGTTTTTACTCGGGCGAAACGGTTTTTTAATGTATTCTTTGAAAACATTAGTGCAAGCCAATAGAATGCATACAACATAACAATTATTTCCGATTTGCGCGTTAGATTACAACAACAATCATCTTCATCATTATTTAATTATCTCTTATCAGCTTATCGTTAATGAGCACAGCAGATAAACGAACAAAGCGTCTTACCGTTGTAATTTTGCTGCGGCTGCTGCTGCGGTTGCTGCTGGTCCTGTTGTTGCTGGGTCTGTTGTTGTTGCTGCTGTTGCTGCTGCTGCTGAATCTGCTGCTGTTGCCCACCCTGGGGCGCTCCATGAAATGTTGGCGGCTGAGCTCCGCGGCTATTGTTGTTAGCATTGTTATAGTTGCTGTTCTGGTTGCCCCACGTGCTACGCTGGTTGAAGCCGCCACGGCTACCACCACCACCTCGTTGTCCCCCGCTTGGATTGTTGCTGCCCCCTCCTCCGCCACCGACGCGACGATTGTAACCACTGTTGTTGCCGCTGCCCCCGCCTCCACTTCCTGCTCCAGCTCCGTGGTGGTGTCCGCCGTTGTAATTGCCCCCGCCACTGTGGCCGCCTCCGCCAGCTCCCGTCTGATTACCGCCGTAACGGATTCCGCTACCGCTGTGATTGCCCCCCATATGGCTTCCCCGTGTAATTACGTTTGCTGGGTGATCCACCTGTCGTGATAAAAAGTAAGAAAAATTTTATATTGAAGGGAAAACCAACGAGTGACAATAGAGAAAAGCAGGATAACTTCTATATTAATAAAGTTAGACTTCCGATATTAAATATAAAAAAAAAAGAAGTACGCTTTTATGAAACGGCATAAAGTGGCCACGAGAGATGCGGAGTGGAAGAAACTGTTGAGTAATCTTACTACAGTTTAATAGTGAGGTAGCATAACGAAATAAATGGTTTTAATCTGGCCTGTATTGCGGTCAATATGGTAAAGCGTAGTTTACACCTGAAATACGAAGTAGCTTTTTGTCTATAATGAAGGAATAAGAAACATTCAAGTGAGCCCCATTCTATGCGACAGAAAACGCTCTAATCGCATTAGTCATAATGCCCCATCCTAATTCAAAAACGAGATATACATGCAGCTATTTTCTCAATAATTTTTCTCTAATCTGCGCTTAAATTTAATTAGGTTTTCCGGATATCTAATCACCTGATAATCATCGCCCGGCGTAGCAGCAGACGCAACTGGTGAATCAGCTGTCAGGGGAGGTGAGGCTGCCACTTTGATTTGCGGCGAACGACTCGGGTGAGGCTGATGTTGAGCGGAAGGATGGGGTACATTGTGACCTCCGTGGCCGCCATGTTGCTGGGCGGGGTGAGGCCCGTGTGGGGCATGTCCAGTGTGCGGTGGCACATGGGGCGGTCCATGCAACGCATGTCCCCCAGATGGATCGTCCAGATGCGGATGCATCTGTTGTGGTGCTTGCGGAGTACCTAAAATGGTCAAGTTGTGAGGAACTATGTTCGGGTGGACAAGCAATGTTGATGACGGGAATTGAATTAAATATGTCGACTGCATCCCCGGCGCCCCCTGTTCAACGAGCATCATGTTCTGCGGTATGGCACCATGACCCGTATGAGTGGCGTGTCCGCCCTGTACCGTCACCGGATGGGTGACCGCATGCGAAACCGGGTGTGGCGGATGACCATGTGGTTGGTGGTGAGGTTTTTGCGGGACAACACCTGTGGGTACCCCGCCCAAATGCTGATGATGCTGGGGTACATTGGCGGTCAGTGGTACCTGTACAGGCGCAAGGTGCGGAGGGGCAATAGGTGCTGTTGTTACGACGGTAGCTGTGTGTTGTGGAGTGGCCTGCTGCACCACGAGTGGCTGCTGAACTTGCTGCATCGGCTGCATCGGCTGGATTGGCTGTGGAACCGGAACAGACTGCTGTTGCGGAGCCGACGGCTGCGGTCCCGATACTGATGGCGGAGCCTGTTGTTGTTGCGGCAAGGGTTGAGGTTGCGCGGCTATTACGGGATGTGACTGTGGCAACGGCGGCGGCAGATGCGACTGAACGGGGGCAACAATCGTCGCCGACGGAGCTGGAGGCTGAGCAGCTATTGGAGCTGGCGTCAAAGGTGCTACTGCCACCACAGGCGTCGGCGGTGAGGATCGCGGTTGATGCTGCTGTTGTTGATGATGATTGTGATGATGGACCGACGGCTGAACCGATTGCACCTTTTCCGATACGGCTGCGACAGGTTCCGGTACTGAGACCTCACTTTCCTCAGGTAGAGGTGGCACATTTCTTGCCGTAGTTGCACGACTTTCGTAGGGATCATTGAGTCGTTGAGTCGTCCCAAGTGAGCTTATTTTCGTAACCAGAGAATCCACTAAGCACTTATCAATTATCAGTGGCTTTGTCTCTCCAAGTGAGATGTCAACCTCTTTCTCCGCGACGAATCGCCGAAGGTCGCACTTCAACGTTTCCATTTCCTCATCCGGCAACGCTTCGTTCTGAAAACATTGGTCATATTGTTTTCTGAAAATTTCTACTGTTTACAAGGAACGAGTGCCGTTGTATAAGGCATTAAGTGAACTGTTTTATAACTACTCCAAGTGAAATATATACCTGCACCATTGTTTCTATAAATAGTGACCTCTGTAGTGGATAAAAGCAATCTGTAACACGACAGCACGTATAATTTCACAGTGACTTACTTCGGCTACACGCCGCTTGAGATCTTCAGCTTCCACCCTGCGATTGTGTAATAACGCCTCGGCTGCTCTTCGCAGCGTCTTCAAATCCTTTAGAATGCTCTCCCGCTGCGATCGAATCGCATTCAGTAGTTTATCAAAAGTCTTCGTTACCTCGTGCTCCGCCTCATCAAACCTCTTTGGAACCTGTAAGGGCGGAGTGATATAAACATACATATACAACTCGTTAATCGTTGTCGCAATTACCTTTTTTCTATATAATATGGTATATGTCACCGAAGGTGCCGGAACTAACCACACCTGCTTACCGTAGCCAAGTCTTGTTTAGTCATTGTTGGAATTCGAAGTTCATTAACAATGCAACTGCATCGACTATCTATTAATTTCGAATAGTAATCTGTATATACACAGACACAACCACATGCACAACTCCTTCGTGTGTGGTAAATTAGCACATCTAAGCAGCGTAGCGCTAGAGAAAAATCAAGAAAAAGGGCAAAGAGCGGCCTATTGCCTACGAACCTGCGGTGCGTGTCTGGTAAGTGTGGAAATTTGTCGCGATAGATCCTTTTCAAGTCTGCCTAAGCTTCGAGGCCCCTTGCCTGTACTGCTACTGCAGGTGCTGCTTTTATCGGTGGGCGTAGTTACCGTTGCTCGGTTATCTCTAGCTGAATCGTCCTTTATGGTGCAAGCGCTGCCACTTATATTCTCTTTATCTGCCACTGTTGAAGATGTCATCGCCGTTCGCGCATTCGCATCGCCATCACCTCGTTCGACTTTACCAGTCGTTCCAACACGTGTCTGTTGTTCATCAACTTTGCTACTACTGCTGTGGTGGCCTTGGTGAGCACTTGCGATAGTAACGTTGCTGTTCATCGAGTTACGGTGCGAATGACCACCCCCTCCTCCTCCACCCGCCGCCGTTGCCGCCGCCGCCGCCGCCGCCCCTGCCGATGATAGCGGTGGACTTCCCCGAAGAGGAGGAGGAGGCGTACCGTTACTGACGCGAGTCTGACTACCATTGCCCCCCTGACTATGACTGCTTTGACTATTTCGTCCGCTTCGAACCGATGACGACGACACCGCCGCCGTCACTGGTGGAACATCCGCCGCAGACGAGCTACCACTTCCCTGTGATCCCCTGAGATCCCCAGGCGTAGGCGGGGATTGGGGACTATTCGGTGGACTGTGATGATGATGGTGGTGATAATGGTGGTGGTGATGATGATTCTGTTGAAGGGAAAGTTGAAAGGAACTATTTGTTGAAATAAGCAGCGGATGACTGCTATTGTTGTGATGATGCGTGTTGTGGTGTGTTGTAGCTCCCGTGGACGTTTGTAATGCATCATCGTCGAGGCTTACCGAAGAAATGCTCTCGGTTGGCGTCGATCCTTCAGTCCCTCCACCAGCCAACGACGAGTGGGCACTGTCCCCTACGAATAAGCAAAATAATAATAACAGTACCGACGCAAGCCAGCACAACACCGATATGAAATTAAGGAATTGATCAGTTACTGTTATTAGTATGATTATTTCAGCATGTAGTCCTTGACGAATGCCTATATCTGCAATACCAATGCTTAAATTCTGCACACTGATCATCCTATACCTTACAAAGATTTAAGTGGCGATGGATGCAAACTTGTATTGTTAAAAATTGTGCTTTCCATATTAAAGCAGACGACTATCTTCAGCGATAGAATCAATCATTTTACCTAGCCCACCTATTGACAACGAAAATCGAAAGCCGAAGGCCTTGGCTAACGTGTTGACGCTCTTCCCGAGACACAGATAAGCCGGCTTGGCCGACTCGAACCACGAGCATTTCGGGAAAGCCGCGCAATCACTAACCATTGTCGAGACTGGATTGATGACTGTCCATCAGAGCCCCCCCGCTGCTCTGGTTATGGCTTTTGTTACTACTACAGCTGGTGCTGTTGCTGTTGATGCTGCTTATTGTCGCCAAAGCCCCCGGTGCTGCTGAGACTATTGTTAGCGATGTTGTCGGTATTGCGTTGTTGATACTGCTGCCATTTGTTGACATTGTATTGTTGCTACTGCTGTTATCTCGTGAGCAGTTAGCCAGAAAACTGCTACTGCTTGAGGTGCTGCTGGTGACAATCGCTGGCGGGCCACTGCTATTGCTGGCGCTATTCATATTGACGGCATGCGGTGCTAATGAGCTATTCACAACGGCCGAATTCTCCTTTCGTCTACCTCGGCTTTGGCCTTTGTTGTTGCCTTTTCCTCCACCTCCTCCTCCGCCCCCACCGGCTCCGCCGCCCCCCTTACCACCAGCTCCGCTGCCCCTTTCGCCGCGGCTCATTACAATACCGCTTTCGATTCCGTTACCTACGTGATAGAAACACAGAATGAAATAACAGTGATTAGACGAGACTGACAAAAGGTCAATCCTAAATTCAATCTTTTAATTTCGTTCATATAGTCACACGTACCGGTGAACGAAAGCATAGTCTATTTTCTTCATATTTAGAAGAGAGCCAGCCAAAAAAGCCAGTACATTAATTGCGGCTCTTTTTTTCACGCTACCTGCCCGTACAGCCTGTACTAACTTGGCTAGCCACGTCGTATGTGGCATGTTAAATCGTTCGTAAACAGCCTTATTGTGCCAAATAGCGATAACCATCTAATTCTGATGCTGCTCACCCAAAATTATGACCGATACACATCGTATTATAATCGATTCGAACTGACATATTGTATTTTTGAAAATTTCAAATACCACTTCATCTATTGGCTTCGTTTCGTTCAGATAACAGTAAACAAACTTTTACTACGCTATGAAACACTGCACTTTTAGCTAGAGTAACATACCCATTATTGAAGTACAGATAAGAAAAAACACCAAGCGTATTTTTCACAAAACTTCATGTGCAAGATGATTATCGAAAGAACGAACAGCGTTACTTGGATTCACTTGTGATTATAAACAGCTGATGAGGCCAATGCTAAACGTGGAGAGAGCAGGCGAGGCTTTGGTTACAGATTCAATGGCGCCATCTGGCGAGCATCCCTTGAAACGGATCAGTAAAACATACAGTTTCACTTATAAAGAGTTGCGCGTTGTTTAATATGAAGTAAGAGAACTTCCTATCGAATACTGATGAATAATTTCGTCGAATTACCTAAAAAACGTATTTCGAGTTTCTAGTTCGCGTTGAGCTGCCTCGAAGACGTAAATCCTTTCCTACTAGCTTCTTTTTCTCTTCTAAACGCGGAAAACTTCCACTGCGAGACATTGCAGTTTTGGGTTATTTGAATTAGAAAAAAAAAGTCCTAAATGCCAGTTCCATATTAGCGAGTCACATTGTTCGATATACATTCTATACAAGTTGACTTACAGCATGCATGTCGTGACAGACAGTTGTGACTGTAATCTACTAGACCTGCTCCAGAGCGTATATAATTATCATTTAGTACTAGTTGCTTCAATTGTATTCCGAAGACCCCACCGAAACCCCACTGACCTACAACCAACTTGATGTTAATCTCTATCAGTAAAATTATCACACGTCGAGATCTTTTCGTAAATAATACTGTGATCTGCCATAACTTAGGTAAGACAAGCAGTCAATCTTACGTTCTTGCCTAGTACAGACAATATTAACATTGTTACGTGAGCGAGGTCACTCCATCTTAGTAGCAAGCAAGTAGACAAACAGCATTCGTATTTCAATGCCGCGTGCGGACAGCCGGTCAGAGTTACCTATGTCGCATATATTGCGTAGTGTCATTGTAAGGGCGGTCGCTATGCTGTTGCCGAGAGCTTCGCGTGTGTTAGTATAGTCCCTCTAAATTTAGCCATCCACCGCCACATGTTCTCATTCGACCCACTGCCCAGCCGGCAAATCTGAGTCGACCGGCTATAGCCGCGGCATATCGTGTCGGTTCAAATACGCACACCCACAAAACCCTATGTATCTCTACCCCGCATCAGAATGGAACCTAAGGCTCCTATTTTAGCTTACGATAAAATCATGAAAACCCCCTAAATCTCCTAAACGGAACGTAGAATTTTCTATTTTCATACGGATCCTGAGCAAACCTAAATAAATTTATAATTTACAAAGAAAGAGTCGACTTGGAGGGATAGAACAGGTGCCTTGACAATGCTTCGATAGCCATGGTTCTATTCGTTGTTACGGTTCTGTTTGACTACATTCAGTTGACGATGACATTATGACGATAAGACTGTACGAACTGGTAATCTCTTATTTCGAAGGCATACGCCCCATTACGTCTGATTAATCCCTGGCGGCAAGGGCAAAGGCTGTCGGTTCATCTACTGATTATTACCGAGTAAATTGTAAAATGAGAATTACTTATGACAAATGGATGCACGAACAAGCAGAGGAAACAAAAGGAGGGTTGACTAATAGATATGAATTAATAATTAAGATTATTAATCAAGAAGCGAATTTGTATGTCTACGTTTATTTTGGCCTGTGCCGTCAATATATTCGCTATTGGTTTACAACCAACTGAATCATCACCCACTCCTCATCGATGCCTTACTTTAGTAAATGCTATTCGATAAGTACATCTCTGTAATATATATATCTTTTTCTGCGGGTAACTGTCTTTAATAAAATCAGATATGGGAATACATCGATAATAAACAGCTCAATGTTAGGCGAATAGTTTGACAATTCGTTATCACACTCTGTTGTTGATGATTTTATGTTTTGCCTTTCACTGTTTCCTTTACGTGCTTAAAAATTCTTCCGCCCTGTGGAACGGCAATCAGCCCGCCCTGAAGCGTTAGTTGCCGTCCGACAATACCGACTCAGGCTCGTGACCGGCCATGTTGCTGGTGCTGGTGACGCTACAGAAAAAAGGACGAAAAAGCGGCTTGTACGCCATCTAAAAGTACCACTGATACTGCTACCACCGTTAGTGCCGGTATCGTTCATCATCGTGTCTGTGCGAGGCGCCTTGAGTAAGCATCGTGCGGTTACAGATCCGTGGGGCAGTAACAGGAATCCCAAAAAATGTAGCAGGTACACAGCTTTATATTAAAGTTTCCTTAATGAAATTTTCCAAGCATGTCCAAAGTACAGAACAGCATCGCTGCCGCAGCGCTTAAGGTTGCTAGTGGTACCTATTATCCCACTTGCCTTTTTATCCTATCGCCACTGACAATGAACGCCAAATGTGCTTGTCATAATTCAATGAGTTGGTATTATAGTAGTAGGGGCCATAGTTGTGTATTGACGAGTTGATGTTACATAGACACACATACACATACAGATATCAGAAACATGCGAGGACGTCGAGGGGAGCCGCAATTCATTTAACACACGGAGCCAACAGGAAGCTGAAGATTCCGATGATCTACAACGAATCATTGTAGAGCAAGCTTATGATGACTTCGTATGTTTACGGATAGATACGCAAACATGAAATCATTTGTTAGCATCCACAATCACAGGAGGCCGATCATGACACCTCACGGTCAGCACTCCTTCCTAGACTGCTTGATATATATATTACTATTAATATATACATATTATCTATGCAATGTGTACATACGAAGTCTGACAACCCAATTACTCTTCCATAAGTTATGCGGGACGATCCTTACAGAAGAGGGCATACAAGAAAGAAAATTTTAATTTTCAATATACACCCCTTGAGTCCCAATGCACAATCCGTGTTGCAGTTTTGACAGCTGAGATCGAATGATGACCAATCCCATGGCTAAACGAACGAAGATATCGAATACTTGGACAAAAACTCCGCTCTCATCTTCTTCGCAGTTGTCGATGCGCACAATGCCACGATGGACACATAACATGTGTGCAAATCTTTCCCCTCGTGAGCAGTGTCTTCTGCCGGCTGAGGACATGTGAATGGCCGTATACCTGTTTGCACACGGATGGCTCATGCCTAGCGACAGAAATGCACTCACATGTTGTTACTGTTGCTGACATTACTAATGCATATGGTTTTATTCATTTGCAGCTTATGCTGTTCGTTGATCCGCTGTTCGCTCTAAGTGTAACACTGATATATAACTTAAGTGCTCGTCATATTACAGATACATATATATGTATATATAATGTACATATTTTTCTAATGGCGTTGTCGTCAATGTCTTTAGAGTGACGGCAATGGCAGCTTCGGCAGTTTCGCGCTTGCTCAACGTGAGTGCTGCAATCGGCGCCATCGGCTGCCAAAGGACTGGGAGCAGCCGGCCCATGCACTCATGCCCCTAATTGCGCTAATAAGCGGCCTCGATCGCCATCGTAGCGATAGAGGTTCGTGTCAATAACACGCTCTCACACGGACAGGCATACAAATGACACAAATGCCGTCCGTTTGTTCCATGGGCAGCTTCGCCAAAACATACTTCTGTCGCGACAGCAGTAAACTCCAGCAAAAGCTCTACGACAGTATTTACCTCAGCTAAGTAACAATAATGTTACTACATGTACTATTCTAAAACAATAAGCAACACTACACATACGTAGAAGGCCGCTTGCTTGTCTTTGTCGAACGATGCTGTCATTGCACTTAAAACTGCCGTAGTTTTCGCACGATAAGGTTGCAAATAAGCAGTTAAGTGCAACAATATTCCCTACTACTCCTTTTCAGTTTCCCCTTTTCCTAAGAGCTCTCAAAGCTAGCAGCATTCCCTGCCCAGCGGCGTCGCTCTACGATGCCCCAGAAAGCCTGGCGCGACCGGGCCAAGCTTAGCACGCCTCCACTGGCCGTGGTCAGTCAGGCAGAGCAGTCAGTATAGCGGGTTATCGTTGCGCGGCTGCGGTCATCAACAGCAGCGACATGCAACGACAGAGACGACGATCCAATCCACTATCTCGAAAAGAATTACAGCATCAAACGATAAAGAGCGACTGGTTGCTGTTGCGGCACGTTGTCATGCCTTCGCGTCTACGGTGTGGCGCAGCTTCTGGCTCAATTGCCCGACCATTAATACGACCGCCCCCACACAGAAACGGCTACAACCTCTGCTAAAACGGGCCTGTTACTCTGTGTTGAAGCTCGGTTTGTAGGGCAACTGCGTCAATGACGACATCCAGAGTGAGCGAACCGACAACACCAACAACAAGCTTTTGTCGTTGTCGCTGCCTTTGCTGTTTTCGTTATTATTGTTGGTGCCACTCTCGTACAGCCACGCATTCAAAAGCTGACGCTGCTGGTGAGTGTGTGCTGTATAGTGTATAGTTTTAGCTTAGCTTGCCTTCAGCATCGCGGCCGTGGTCGTAGAGCCGTACGAATTAAGCGTGCGGACGCAGCGGATCTGCTGCTGATGCCGCCGTTCGCCGTACCATCGCTGATCTCATGAAACCAGAGCGGATATTCCTGCT